AATAATGACTTTTTATAAAAACTCTCACCTGTATTCACCATTTATAGGATAAGTTTCCTTAAATCCTATCTTAGTTTATCTTATACTTAAATAGTCTAATAAAGTGTCAAATTTAAGTAATCCTCAAAGATCAAGAAATTTTCGAAGTTTTGGGATTTCTCTGTGATGACATTTATGAATTCTATAGAGTCTTAGTAGAGTTGATGAAAGGATGACCGTTTGAATTGATATTAATGTGGTGTTTAACTGATTATCATCATCACCACCATATTAATGTCCCACTGTTGAGGCTCGGGCCTTCAATAAGGATGGCATAAAGAGATTCGATTATGGCATGACACACCTAGTGATATAAAAAAAAAACCAGTCTTTTTTCACGAAAAAATCATGAAACAAACCTTAACCCCGTTATCTTTTTATTCTAGATTTGTTATTTTTTTCCAAGAAAACAATCTTTGAAAGAGAAATGTTTTATTAGTGGTGAAATAATATATATTTCACTAATATTGCATTTTAAAACTAACATTCTTCAACTGCGCTCTGTTAACTGCGTCCATACTTCAAACAAACAAAAACCGAACGGGGAATTCGACGTTCGTCGTGCGTGTGGGCAATTGTTGAAAGATTGGTTGGCAATTTTTAATCAAAAAAGGTGTGGTAGGTTTAAAAATAAACAGAAAACTTAAATATAAACTCATAAGCATTAATCTTTAAAGAAAATTTTCATAATAATTTTTAAATATGTATTTTACTTTAATAATTACTTTAAAAAGACATGCTCTAGAAATATTGTGTATTTTTGTTTTTAATACTATTTTCTACGAGAATTGTAACAGTTGATTGCTTTAAAAGAAGCAATTACCGAGAAAATGTTTAGGCTCTAGTAACTACTCAATACTCAGTTCACATACAAATTTCAAATTAGCAAGGCAATTACGGAATGTTAACTTGCGAAGTTTCGCTATTAGAGTGCAGAATTACGAGTAAGCTCATCGTTATTGAGAGCTTTACATTTTAGCATTTTCAAGTATAATTTTGTTTGTTATAAACGGTGTTAAAATAGTAGGAATAATTTTCAGAAATGTAAATTTCGTAAAAGTTTATAAAATGGAAAATATCTGAATCTTCATCACATTATATATCCATAACTGGAGTTATGTTTATTTTTTTATGTATTAAAGTAACTTTTAATTTAATTAAGTTTTTTTTATCTCACAGCAGCTGTATAAAGTAGAGTATGCTCCTCGGGGATAAAAGTCTCATAATCTTGGGCAGACTCGTATAATTTACTTCATTTATCCCCTTGATGCATAATCTACTATTGCAAGTATAGCACTAACTTGACATCCCATTAAGATCGATATAAAGGATTCCACGACCACAATTGCCCTTTGTTTGCAATTGATAGCTTTTGTGGTTACGTGCAACAAATGAAATAATACTTCTTAATAATGTTCGTTATGATTGAAATGAAATTATTGGCACGGTGCAGCGGTGGAGACGTTATTTTTTGCGTATTCATTATAATGTAAGATTTCGATCACAGAACGTTTAAATAGAAGTTTCAAACATTACTTATAAAGTGTGTTAAGCAAAAAGGATGTAGTCAAGCAAGGTGTAGCCCGATAGACAACTTGCTTATCTAAAAATAGACTCCTTTTTTACTATACTCCGGCCTCTTTATCTATTTGTGTACCAAACTGATCGGTATTATATATATTTTAAGTGAATTTATGTATCAGAGCTGTAAAAAAAACACTCGAACTCGAAATGCTCTTTACATTTTCTATGAATCAGTCGCAAAAACGTTGGACAGTCAAACGTTCCCATCAAAACTAGTTCCGAAATTTGCGAGAAGATTCATCCACGAGTATTATATGAATATGACCAAAACACGGCGTTGTTATTTACGATCGGGCGCAGAGGCCGAATGCCGACGTGTGCGTTCTGCGTGACGTCGTGTCGGTGTGTTCTCGTGCTTGTAAACACGGATGTATGCACAGACACCCAGATATAAGTACTCGTAACCCACTAAACACAGAGTCGAAAATAAACCAGAATGTTGGCTGACAATGTAAAAATTTTGTAAGTGCCCGTTTTCCACGGGATCACAAATGCGAAAATTTTCACTCGACGCGCCGTCCATTTTGGTCCTGTATTATGTGAAATGCGCTGTTGTTACAAAAACACAGCGCGGGGTCTACAGTTTCTATTTTCAATCGACCATCGCGAAGAACATTTTTAGTGGTGGGGAGTGGGGCCGTACCACAATCGTTTCATTCATAGTGTGCCAGTGTTGGGACGCGCTTAGAGTGTACGACGACAATTTAAATTACTTCAATATTTATTTAAATTAATAGTTTCCATTTGTCGTGGCATGTCAACGTAAAGTATCATGATAGTATTCTGTAAGATTCAAAGTACATGCCTATCAATAGAGCTCGCATTCGATGATGAAAGATTGCTTCCAAATAGACACACTTCTGATAGTAGGTAAATAAAGATAGCTAATAGCTATAGTTAATATTGATTTACAATTAAGAATAACATAAAAAAAATCTTTATGGCTTATAGTGAAAGTAAAAACATGTTATAGGAATTTAATGAATGTGATAGTCGCGGTGAATAGTCCTTGGCAAGGAATAGTATTTTCCGAACACTCAAGAGTCGGTGGTTCATTTTCTAGTGAAATTGTTGATATTATTTATATTTCCTTTATAAGATCTTATTAGAAAGCTTATAAACTATTTTAAGGTCAGGTTTGATAGCGATTACCTCTACATTGACCTGTAACAAGTTCGGTATGCTATTAATAGAAAAAAAATCATTCCTCTAAAAACTATTACACTTAAAACTTCATTTACTAACTCATAAATGACCAACAGCCGATATACAAAATAGTTTGCTCACCGGTAAAACCAAGTAGGTACTAATAATGTTAACTGATTTATTTGCTTTACAAAAACTATTAATTATTATTTACTTCCTATTACTTAGGAAGTAAATAATAATTAATAGTTTTGTAAATAATAATTTTAGCTTTTGAAATTTGAAATAATTTTATTTATAGTTTCAAATCTATACTTATATTATAAAGCTGGAGAATGCACTAATCTCAGCAACAACTGGGCAGATTTGAAAAAAAAACGTGTGGGAGACAGTACATTTATAGAAGGCTATATAACATCACGCTACGACCAATAGGAGCGGAGCATTAATGAAAAATTTTGCAAAAACGGGAAGTAAATATTACATTTGAGAGCTTCGGTTGCATCCGCTGTGTAATTTATTTATTTATTTGTTGGAAGATTAACAGAATAAATATCAACCATAACTTAAACATCTAGCAATTTAATGCTTAAAAAATAAATAAAAACGTAACCATAACTGTTCAATTTAAATAAACAAGGCTATTTATAAATTTCCACAAAAAAGAAAAACGGTTAAAGTAACACAAAAATCATATGTAAGTAACGGAATTGTTTCAATATAAATAAAAAAAATATGACCATCTTTTACGTTTGACTAATTATATAACCATTTTCCTCGAATTAACGCTGGTGCAACCGCAGAGGACCTCAAGTATGTTATACACACAAACCAGGGACATTAGTGTGAAATCACCTTTAGACATTCATATTATTTGTACATATAAAAACATAATTATGTTATTGATAAAGGTGGTCTACAAGCCGAGAAAGAATATTATTAGAGTTTTCATGTTCTTGTTTATTATAAAATGATTTTCCATGAACGGGTATTAAACTACATATATACTTCGATGATATGTCAGTGCCTACGTAGCTCTGATACTAATTAGTTTGCCGTTATATGTGCCCACATGCTGATTTTCAACATGAGGGAACATGTAGTTAAAATCGAAGTAAGCAAAAGTTTTGCCGTTTTCAATATTTTTGAATTTTACGTCGTAGTTCCTATTTACCTATTTATACTTTGGCAAAAATAAAAGATTGTGTGTTTGTTAGATAAAAAATATGATTTCGTAAACTTATGACAATATTTTACGTCAATTCTTGTAAATAGGCGATTGTAATCTTTATACATAGGCACACGTTAAGTGTGATTTTTTATACATACCTTACTTACATAACAACTTATTTTTTTCATACAAGCGAAATAATACCTTATCAGTCCAGGACTATGCATACATGGTTTTCGCTCTAGAATTTTATTTTCAATGACGAATGACGTGTCATTCGCGTCACGCACATTTCCTCTCGCACGTATTTCATATACCATTGTTACAACGATGGTAATTTGTAGATAAGAAAAAAAAATACCAAACGCCTATGACGCCCTAGATATCGTGACCCTTATCTCTAAACCAAGATGATTGTTTTGTTTTAACTTAAAACATATTTGAACAGTAGGTATGTTCCGTAATTATATGTAATCTGTTTTTCTTGGATAATTAGCTTTTTTGTAAACATTGTAATTTCTTAATCATTTCGAGAACACTTATTTATAGATATGCAAATGACTGGTAGTTAGTTGGTACAGTTATTTATGGTTGGAGCAATCTCAAAATGTTATTCGGCGAATCATTATTATGGGCTATAAACGTCCCACTGTTGGTTACACGAATTTTCTTTTAATGGAACGGTCGCATAGGATGAACCTCCTTGTAATCACCCACGTGAGAGTAATAAGGCTTGGTGGGTGTTAACGATTGAAATTTCCGACAAATTCGGCAATAAAAAGGTTACAAACCCGTTCTGTTTATGATGTGCATCCGACACTAATATTATGTATACGTACGATTAGTACCTACCCATTGTTTGTTAACGGAATATTTGCAATTACACAGAACACTCATATCTATTTGTGTACATGAAAATATACTTTTGTATAAAACACAACCCTGGATTTATTTTTATGTCTCATGAATAAGAAAAATATATCAATAGGAATTAAGTAAACCAGACATAAGTACATAAGTATTTAGATTCACATTTAATTCTTCTTTCATTTGTTTCCAGATCCCGATTGGGCTTCGTACAATCTCGGCATCTTCATATGCATGCGTTGCGCAAGCATACACCGCGGGATGGGTGCGCACATCAGTAAAGTGAAGCATTTAAACCTCGACAGATGGGAAGACTCCCAAGTGCAACGCATGAAGGAAGTCGGCAACTTGGTGGCAAAGTTGAAATATGAAGAACGAGTACCCCCGTGTTACAGAAGACCGACGAGACATGACCCACAGTAAACACTTTGTTTATTTACTTATAAAACCACCTTGTCTTAACTTAAAATGTTTATTCAAATTTTTTACCGTCTGGGGGGGGGGGGGGGTACTTAATCTTCAACTTTAACCCCTCGCCCTCGAAAAAGAGCTTGTAAACACAAACAAAATGTTTTCTTTTTATACCTAACAATTCGATAAAAAGAACCTCTTTAATAATATAAATTTTAAAATGGTTGCTGTTTTGGGGTTGTTTACTTTAGATTAAATGAGAAATGTTGAGATCTCAATACTTAAGTACTAAGATCTCAACATTTCTCAAGTACTGGGGTTTCTGGTAGATTTCCCAAAAAAAATCTTAGAAATAAAAAAGTTGTCCTCACAGAACAATACTCAAGAGGCACAACATTTTGATCCTACTTATTAAGAGACAAATAGAACGTAATATAAAATAAAAATAGGTATCTTCAATGACTTAACACAGTTAAAATCCTCAAAACTTAAGAATGTTCATTACCTTAAGACGGTCATTTGTTGAAATATCTTGTTTGCTTTTAAAGCTTTTAATTATTGTCAACATCTATTTTCATTTCATATTTTGACATAACATTGCGAAAACACCAGTATCTTGACCCAAATACTTTATCTCTATTATACACGTGTAAGTTGCCTGTAGACCATGTAGCAATGAATGATAAATAAAACACCAAAATAAATAAATACCTATGATACTATTAAAATTAAGTAATTTTAATCTTCCAAGAAGGTGTAGTCGATTTATTATGAGGAACTCGATGGCGCTGTAGTTAGGTCTTTGACAGTCTTAGAGCATTTAATTTACCAATACCATTTGGTATATGCTCTACGGTGACAGCGGAAAGTTTAAACTTTCTGAATCGCCAGGTACAGGATCATGACCATTATCATCAGCCTATTAATATCTCCACTGCTGGGGCACAGTCCTTCTCTATGGATTGAATAGGGAGAATGGGCCGTGGCCCACAGCGCGGTCCCAGTGCGGACTGCAAATGCAGCCGGAACCAACGGTTAAAGTGCCTTTCGAAGCACGGAGGAGCTCGAGATAATAACTTATTGTTCACCCATCCAATGACTGACCATGGCGAAAATTGCTTGACTTTCAGGATCGCAGGCCGAATGCACTAACTCCCTGTGCAACCGAGCTCCTCGGTCATAGGATAGGCCAAAAATATATTATCTATCTCGATCTACTGCGTGCTTAGGAAGGCAAGGTTTTGGAACTTAATTTCCCCGGTTGCAATGCGTGAAAACTTAACACAGAGAGTTACTTTAGAATTTTTGATAATACTATGGATTTGAGGTCCAAGGCTTAGAGTAAAAAGTGTGCCATTTGTTGAACGACAATGAAGTGTAAATAAATAAATAAAGAAAAAGAAAAACTGCAATAATCATCATCAGCCTATTAAAGTTACCAATGCTATTGTACAGAGATGCAGCTGGGACCTGACCTCTAAACGTGCCTGGCAAAACTTGGAGGAGTTAGCACTAGTAATTTTGGTTACACATCTTAGGACCGGCCATTGCAGAATGTTAAAAGTACCAAACGCTGAACCATTGACCTCCTCGAATTCGTCAGCTGCTAATTAATTTGCTCGTTACTTTTATCAGAGGAGTGCACTTCTTTAGGAATTTAGGTACAACCAAAGTAATGCCATCTACAATGCCATGCCTTGCCCTTCGCTTTACCTATTTCGATAATTCTATTGATATTAGTCAGTTGTCATAAGCACTCATTGTAATGCATATTATTTTATGTATGATAAGACTGCATCTATTACACATCACTGCATCCAGCAACAAACAAAATAGGAATTACATAATTCTAATCAAATAGGTACCGTTTTATTGAAGCTGTGACGATATAAACGTGGAAAATATATCAAATTAGTCATCAATTTATTTTTACAACTTTTCCAGAGTGTTGATCGAACAATGGATCAGAGCTAAGTATGAAAGAGAAGAATTTTGTCATCCCGAACGTCTGAGTTACCTTTCCGGTACCATGGAAGGTTTTCTGATGAAGAGGGGGAAAGAAGACAGCCGATACCAATTAAGGAAATTCGTGTTGAGCGAAAACGAAGACACACTGAAGTGAGTACAAAATCCAGCTCCGTAATTTAACAGTCACTTTAGAAATTCAGCCCTTATTTACTTCTTTTTCAGATTTATTATTTTATGCTGTGATCATAACGAAAACTAACATGAAAATATTAGATATGTTTTTGATAAAAGCTATAAAGCTAATCGGATTTCTTAAAATATAACACAATCTAAGAATAAGATAAGAAATTCTAAGAATAATCCTAAAGACTTATTAAATTAAGAAATGTACTTCTAAGTTTTTTTAAAGGTTAGCATAGTCTAATATATTATGAAATGCAGTTAAATAAAACCTGATGTACTTTACAAAATGTTGTGACACATGCAATAATAATGTATAGCACCCACAATCCCTCTTTTAGGTGGCCTGCTACGTATTAACATGACGTGATTTATTGCAGCTTAAACGATATATTTAATTATATATTTTGATATAATTATGACATGAATAGTGTGAATAAGGGTTGAATTTTGTATTTTCCTTTATTATACTTCTGTGATTCGCCCTTCGAGATTACATTGACACACTTGTAGTAGCACGCATTATGTGCTGCCATCGTACACAATTTTAGAGCAACATTAACCTTTGCCTAAAAAATATAACAAAAAAAATATAAAATATGCGTTCGCACTGGGGGTAACTCCACATATTCATACACGTTTTGTGTCGCGGCCATCGTGCACGTAATTTTGCGTTTGCGTTTAATTTATTTAACTTTTATGTAATAATGTTACTTATTTTTTTATATTTAAAGTGCGAAAAAAGTGTATACAGGACTTTAAATATCTGAATATTAAAGATTTGCGCAAGGTGGAAAATTAAAACCAAAGGAATCCCGTCCCGTCTGCTGCCTGGTCCGCGTGGAATTTTTTCTAGTTATATTTTCTTTAGATTTAAACCAAAAAGAAGTTTGTTGGATTCACACTCAGAGGTACTTACATTACATAAATCTTTAAAAATACAAAGTTCAAGGTGAAATTAAACAATACCAAGTACCTAGTTGCTATAATCCGATGGAATCATCATCTTCCAAAAATCTATTTACATCTTGTAAAGAGAATTATTAGATTGTAAACTATATTCCTTTAACATGTTTAGTGATGCGAACAGCACAATGGGGCTGTTTCCTTCACGTACTTCGACATTACAGAAGTAATGACATCAAATATAACCCTTCGACTTATTTTGTGATGCGAGCAGTACATGGGACTGTTTCTGTCACGTACTCGGACACTATAGAAGTAAATAACATTGAATAAATTGTGCAACGTAAAACATGATGCAAAAGCCTTTTGGAATTATTAAATTCATAAAAATACACTTTTAATTGTGTTAACTTGTGGTAAGTAGTGTTGCCTGTGATGCGAATGGTTTTTGAGATCATTTCCTTCATAATAATACATAAGTAATATGTTATGTAAACTTAGGAGTGTTCACTGTGTGATGTGAATATTTTTTTGGGATTATTTTTTTCACAAAAATATTTAAGTTATACCTATATTAAATAAAATTTACTGCTTCCTTCATGTCCATCGAAATTACTACTCGTTAATTGGGCATTTGTAAACTATATTCTTTTAACATGAACATGTTTTGTGATGCGAACAGCACAATGGGGCTGTTTCCTTCACGTACTTCGACATTACAGAAGTAATGACATCAAATATAATCCTATGACTTATTTTGTGATGCGAGCAGTACATGGGACTGTTTCTATCACGTACTCGGATACTGTTGAAGTAAATAACATTGAATAGATTGTGCAACGTAAAACATGATGCAAATGCCTTTTGGAATTATTAAATTCATGAAAATACACATTTAATTGTGTTATCTTGTGGTAAGTAGTGTTGCCTGTGATGCGAATAGTTTTTGGGATCATTTCCTTCACAATAATACATAAGTAATATGTTATGTAAACTTAAGGAGTATTCACTGTGTGATGTGAATATTTTTTTTTGGGATTATTTCCTTCACAAAAAATATGGAAGTTATACCTATGTTAAATAAAATTACTGTTTCCTTCGTGTACATCGAAATTACTACTCGTTAATTGGGCATTTGTAAACTATATTCCTTTAACATATTTTGTGATGCGAACAGCACAATGGGGCTGTTTCCTTCACGTACTTCGACATTACAGAAGTAATGACATCAAATATAATCCTATGACTTATTTCGTGATGCGAGCAGTACATGGGACTGTTTCTGTCACATACTCGGACACTATTGAAGTAAATAACATTAAACAAATTTTGCAACGTAAAACATGATGCAAATGCCTTTTGGTATTATTAAATTCATGAAAATACACTTTTAATTGTGTTAACTTGTGGAAAGTAGTGTTAACTATGATGCGAATGGTTTTTGGAATCATTTCCTTCGCAATAATACATAAATAATATGTTATGTAAACTTAGGAGTGTTCACTGTGTGATGTGTATATTTTTTTGGGATTATTTTTTTCACAAAAATATTTAAGTTATACCTATATTAAATAAAATTTACTGCTTCCTTCATATCCATCGAAATTACTACTCGTTAATTGGGCATTTGTAAACTATATTCTTTTAACATGAACATGTTTTGTGATGCGAACAGCACAATGGGGCTGTTTCCTTCACGTACTTCGACATTACTCAAGGAGTGTTCACTGTAATGCGAAAAATTGCAACTACCTATTGAACCTGCAATTAACGAGAAACAGAACTTAAACTCACCTTTGCGTTTTTCGCAAAAAACATTTTGTGTCGAGTGCCCAGCATCCTGCGAGCTGTTTCTCTGGCCACAGTTTAGGGTAAATTAACCCAACAATTGCTGTTTCGTTGAACGGTATTTACACGGTATTTCAATATTACGAAGAAATGAAAATAAGTAATGTGTTACTTTGAAACAAATATTTTGAATGACGTAATTTTTAAAATACGTGTCGCCTCCATTTTTATCACAGATTCAAAGTATTTGGCACGAAATGTATCGAGTCAGCTTTTTCGATAAGTTTCTGTGAGGATTCCCCAACAGAAGAGTTATGACATGGTGACTACCTGCGATATCAACGAAGTCAAAACCGCTACGAAAACACAAGTTTGTGGAAGCGTCCACTCGACTCCGGAAGCTTTAAACTGGAGGGGCTCACCACCTATGCTGGCACTACCGGCACCTCAGCGCATGCAGCTGAGGTCCGGCCTCATCAATACAACAGGATCCACCAGCACCGCCAGTGTTTCCAGCCTGCTCCCTGCGCCGCTAGAATCAGCAGCCGTCACCAACACCAGGAGCACTGGGAATACTCAGGCTGGTAGATAACATTCTTTTAATACACATATAATTATTGGCGTAAATTCACTAATGATCCTTTTGTCTTCCTGGGTGTCCGGACTACGTATTCGGACATCCGGCAGTTTCTTGGCCTTTGCTAACTGCTCTCTAAATAAAATCGGTTTTTAAAGCAGATGAATTGAATACCTATTAGTAGGAGATCATTGTATAAGTGTCGGCACAATCATTGTGGTGTTTGATCCCTATGAGGGTCAATTCTTGTCAGTATTTTTCTTATTTAAAAATGTACCAGTAAAAAAAAAGGCCTTTTTCGAAACCGAAAGGCATTAAATAATTATATTATACCTGATTATAACACACTAAGCTTGAGGGTTATAGAACTGCAAATGAAAAAAAAAAAATCATGAGATACCGCCTTGTGTGTTCTTTAGTTTTAAAAGACGATTTTACGATTTGATCTACAGAAAGCTCTAAGTTTTACCTTTTTCGGCTTATATATTGTGACGTATATTTTTAAAAAAATTATGCGACTCAAACTGCAATATTTGCGCAATGTAAACAAGATTACGAATTCACAAAAGTTTATATTGGAGTCATTAATCTTTACGATTAACAGAAAAAAGTGTGGGTACGTAATACACCTAGTTCAACTGCATCCTTTTATAGCAAAAATACATAGATTTATCAACCTCTTTACTAGGCAAATCTTCGCCATGTAATATTGATGGGTCTGACAACCAAATACGTTCGGGAGACAATCAGATATACTTGCTCAAATCAGACTGCCTGTGAACAGCGGTCGAAACAAGAGAAACATTTTTGGTCTTAAAATATTTGCAAAAAACATAAAAGACTACGAAATACTCTTACGCATATATAATCTCACCGAATAGACAAGCATTCAGTTTCCTCACACAGCTTAAGCAGGGATAATTGACAGCAAAAAAAAAAAAACTGTTTCCTTGCATCTAATATTAGCTCCAAAGATAATAATAATATGATACGTTTGCAGAGTTAAGCATAATACACGCTGATGTGGTGGGAGCTTGCTAATGACGAAAATCAGTAATTTTGTAAAACATTAGCACAGCCTCAGATATAATTATTTGCGGGACGATTAATTAGAAAAGGATGAAGAACACAAACTGCCCTGGTGGTCACAGTACTATTAGGATACCGTTCATAAAACAAGGTTATTCTCTGGACGTCGCGGATATTATGTTAGCATCAATACCTGATAGCAGGTTGTAACAATACAATGCTCGTTTGAAACAATGTCACTGTTTTTGTGGATAAAATTATGTACTATTTTTTGAAACGCTGTGGTCTGGGATATCTCAATAAGAAAAAGAAAATTAGCATAAATGACAGCACAAAATCGGTTATGTCATTATTAAAATAAATTCAGAAATTATGAACAATATTCTTGTCAAATGGTTTATGTGAAGAAATTTATAAATTTCGTACCCTGTCACCAAAATATACTGTCACGGGTACTACTAGTACTACTTGAATCCCAAGTAGGGTGCATAATTATTTAAAGAGGAAACTTGGACCCATGTGATAGCATTTTATAAAGCTGTTTTTTTTAATAATAGGTAATAACTCTTTGGCTCTTTTTATTGCTCATAAGATACTTATTTTATTTATAATCAAGTCAAATATTAATTTGTATACTAATGAAAGTTTCAAAATTAAATATCACTGATAAGATTAAGTCTTCAACTATAAATCGAGCTTATCATTTACTGACTTTATTATAACGATGTACCTTCAATATGTCTAGCCAAAAATCTTGGAATACTATTTCAATGTTTCAGCAGTGAAGAGGCAATGGGAATGTGTTTTTATTTTTTTACTAATATTATTATTTAGTTCATAGACTTCGAGTCGCTGTATCTTTGCAACTCTACCAGACAGCGGAATAGACATAATCACCTTCTTATAGCACGATACGTGCTGCTACTTTACCTGATACTAAGCCAGAAGTTAGTATACAGCTTATGAAGAAAACTGCGGATTAGACAAGTGCGAAATTTTACAATAGAGAAGTATCCAAAAATAACTCGGCCTTTTTTGCTCGCTCTCTTTACAAACATTTTAAATAGATTTTTAAATTACCTATCTAGAGCTAAATAATAGTATTTTATTTTATTCTCAAATCAAGTGGTACTATATTAATTTACATTAGTATCTAAAAGTCAGCTATTTCGTGTAGCTTTAAACATCTACAAGTGTGTCAATGTAATCTCGAAGGGCGAATCACAGAAGTATAATTGAAAGTCAAACGAACTTACCTGTAAGTGACGTTCGACTTATATTATACGATGTGATTCGCCCGAGAGATTACACACCCTCCCTGTCCCTGATCAGCTATTCTATGAAGATATCTAGATCTTACCCATGGTCACACGAAATAGCAAGAACCAATGGACCGCTTTAGTCCAAACGTGTATGAATATGTGGAGTTACCCCCAGTGCGAACGCATATTTTATATTTTTTTTGTTATATTTTTTAGGCAAAGGTTAATGTTGCTCTAAAATTGTGTACGATGGCAGCACATAATGCGTGCTACTACAAGTGTGTCAATGTAATCTCTCGGGCGAATCACATCGTATAATATAAGTCGAACGTCACTTACAGGTAAGTTCGTTTGACTTTCAATTAAAATGTCAACCTTGCTGCAAAACGGTGACTAAAGTAGACAAACTAATGCTGTCGCTTAATTGTTCATTGAATAAAGATAGGCTCAATTTTTAATGGACTTTAATTTTAATCTTTTTATAAGCCTATCTGCAAAAAATAAATGACTTTTATTCCGGGATTGTAGTAAGGTTTTAATTCTTTTACTGTATTCAATAACATTGGCTTAATTAAACTCATCTAAATTTCGCTTAAAGCCAAACATTGGTTAATAATTCTTGCATCTGCTTTTTATGTTGAAACGCGGTAATAAATACCTACTTATCAAACTATAGGAAACCATTAGTATCGTGTATTTGTTATTTGGTTGATTGACTGCCTTATCATCATTTGACGAGTTTGAAGAATTTGACGATTACACATACCTTGAACGATAATACTGCTATTACTATTTGTTTGAGAACTTAATATTGTTTTTTGAAATATGAGGACGAACAGTTGTTCTTCTTTTGCTCCACTTTTAAAATTCTCCATTCATCCTCATTCTTCAATTGTGCTACTCACTTTTGCAATATTATTTTTATAACTGTATTATTCTGTTTTCATTTTCTTTACTTACTAGTTACCAAAGTCGATTACTATCTGCATTTTGAAAGTAGATATAATTAATGCAAAAGGCCAAAATTTGTAACCTACATAATAAAGGAAGGAAAAGGAAGACAGAAAAAGAGGGGCAAAAGGAGAACTAATTAATAAAAGACGTATTTCCAAATATTTCATCATCTGACTGATGATACAAAAATAAGTCTAAATTTAGTCATTAGTCAACCTCAAATTGCGTACACATACAGTGCTAATTTGCTTTGGAATTTTTTAACAACGTGGTTTTGGTATCTTCTGCTATTATTAAAATCTCTTTATTCAATCTAATAATAGTATCTTTACTATACTTACACATTATCTTTGACGTAAATGGATAGATAAACATTTGCGACTGCTGTTATAATAAGGATGAAATATAACTGCATAGAGTACACTTTTTTTTTTTTTCTTTTTTAATAGACAAAGCACATAGAACTTTTAATAAATTTAAGAGTTCTATGTGCTTTGTCTATTAATTTAACGCCAGTACTTAATAAGGTGTACATTTACTTTTCCTTGTGGACCAGTAAATAATAATTAACAGACATTTTTAAATATGAGAATCACCGCTGCTAGTTTAATGTTAATTAGCTTTACTTGTTAACTCTTAATTGCTACGTCCTGCTAAGTAGGTTATTTAATAGGTTTATATAGAATCTGTTATAGGTATATTTATGTTTTATGTAATTAGATTTTCCACAGATTTAACAGAAATATTTATATCTCCTTGCAATTGATTAATAATTAATCTAATAACATAATTATTTATTTAGGAAGCTGGCTTAATTATTGTTGAAACTTTTTGAAAATCCTGAAATAATAAGCAACCACTCTATGTGATTTTAAGAATTATAATAAGCTGTATTTCAGTATAACACACGTAAGTAATAGTCGATCAATAGGTTTTGATGATTCTCTTGTTGGATAACATTCCTTTTCACTAACTTATGTAAGTATTATTAAATTAAATCTGCTTTAAATGTTTCCATTGCCTATCCAGAACGAAAGTCACCCACATTAATTGTCACACATTCTCAGTTCCGTTAACCTTCATGGAATGCCAATAAAAGTCATATAATATTTACATAACATTTAAAAGTTTTCCTCTTGACAACTACATAATTCAGTTATTTCATCATAATAAACGCATGAATACGATCAAATTAATTAGAATGCGTTAATCAATGTTTGATGATACCATAAAAAGATTCCCAAACTAGTGTCTAGGTACATATACAGGTATTTATAGTAAATCATTTAGAATAGCAGAAAGCTAACTTAGATGTTGCGATGTCCTTATTGGTCTGTCATGCGATAAGGATGCTTACGAGATAGATTTCGTTAGATAGGACAACAAACGTAATCTTGACGCAGAGCATACGAAAAGTTCCACGCCCTCTAGTTACCCAGCGTTTACGTCAAACGGAAGAATGAGCAAATATTTTAGGGCCACGTAACGCCTGATTGATGGTGACTATGAGTTACAGTTGATTTTGAAGATTTCGTCTGATTTCGTCAGCCTATTTGAAACAACTGTAATACCTACTCGTGTCTTACAAAGTTTTGGGATTTGGGATAAGAAGACATTTCTAGTTGCAAATAATGGTGTAGGTATTCCTTAGCAAGGGTATATATATTAGCTTTGAATTTATAATTTATTTAATCGTTATTATTCAAACGTACATACATTTTTAAAGCAAAGTTTTAGTACTTACCTTCAAAAACTGGATGACATTGTCTTTGAATTTATAATTTATTTAATCGTTATTATTCAAACGTACATACATTTTTAAAGCAAAGTTTTAGTACTTACCTTCAAAAACGGGATGACATTGTCAATCCGAAGATGGAGAATAACTTGTTTGTACTTCTATTCAGCGAGTAACAAAAATATCTTTATTTATTTATTAGGTTTACCAGCAATTGTTACAATAATACATTGTAAATATTACAATAGCGATAATACTATAGCTAAAAGCACAAATAATTATTTAAGGTAAACACCATATGCAAAGTTAATAATTACACTCTAAGTTTAGTATTTATAAGTTAGCTACTGACCAATTCAAGTGTCATCATCATCTTCAGCCATTCAATGACTACTTCTTTGCATAGGCCTCCTACAGGTTGTGTATACATTGTCTTGTAATATCTCAGTTTTCAATTTAATGTTTTCACATCCTCTTGAATCCATATAAATCTTTTGTAAGAGATTAGAAGCCTGAATCGCAACTATAAGCTGCACATTTTCTCTCTTTGTTCTTTAAATAAATACAACAAAAAATATTCGCCATTTAATTATGATGTTAAGATTAGGTTTTTTAAGAAACACACATATCTACCTAAGACACGCTGTAAATATTCTGAACAGGAAAAATAACGCGGTTCGTCAATAACATTATTTTACTGCAAAACACTCCAAGGATAAAGTCCAAGTAATTGGTAATAACAGCAGTCCGTTTTACAACACCTATTAAAAATACGACACGGGTTGAGGATAATATAATATTCAATTTTATTAATTGTTGTTTTGTTAGAGTACTAATTATATTCAGAGTTGTAACATTTTATTAAACTTACAACAAAAAATTCGAAAGTAAACTCGTTACCTACAATGTTGACTAACTCGACTTAATAATATGTATATCTAATCAAAGAAATTGTATCGATCAAACGAGTGCTTACAAAGATCGAAAACCTGTTGCCATGATCATTATAAATCCAATTCGTGCTTAGCCTGAATATATAAAATCCTTAGGTACCACCACGCCTCAGACAGCTGCGGCCGTGCCGCGAGTTGTCTCGAACGGTTATTCGATCATCTTCGTGTCAAAAACCTTGGTCGATGGAGGTAAGAAACGTACAAAGTTGACGAGTGGCCAAAGTCACAATTTATATAAAAAACATACGCATACCTAGGTCCCGTAAAGTTTAATTGAATGCGATGTAGAGCAACATTCATTTCATTGCATGCATCATGCTTCTGTCCTAACTTGCCCGATTCTACAAGAGATTGGCGTAGCGTTTCTTATGCCGATCAGAAAACATGAAAATTACATTAGGACCAAAAAGTTTAACCATAACATGGTACAGGAAACGCTACGAAAGTCTTGTTTGAATAAAACGCAATTTTGTCCTTTTTGTCTCAGCTGCAAATCATGCTGCTGAGCGGATAAATGCGTTTACAATGCAACCCGCTTTTATTTCCAAGTGTCTTAACAACATTTTGTGTCCACAGGTACCACGTCCGTGAACACAGAGAACCAAAGGGTATTCTCAAACTATCTGAACTAAATGTATGTTTTGCCCCAGCTAAAATTGGTCACATGAACTCTATGCAGTTGACTTTCATGAAGGATGGCTCCACCCGCCATATATACGTATACCATGACGAGCAAGAAGTCATAAACAATTGGTAATGATTTTTCTATAATTACAGTATATAATAAAACAATATACCTAGTTAATTCCACGAGGTTTTGACAGATTGCGTTTGATGATTATTCATAATAGTCTTAGATCCGAACCTACATCGACCTTCATCGAGCTGATAATAGAATGAAACATATTTTATCATGAATTTAGTACATTAGAAAATATATTAAAAATGGGTTGCCTAAAAAAATCCTGAACAGATTATATTTATTAATTAAATGTTGCAACATCAAGATAACACTATTATTTACCTGGGCGAACTACTGGGTTGCCAGGTATAAACAGGTATGTCGATACCAGTTACGTTACCAACAACGGCTGCATATTCTATACGTTTTATACTTTAAGTCAGGACAAAATTTTCTTATTATCTTGATGTTGCAACAGTTAATAAAACATATATATTTCAATAATTAAACATAACTGTCCAGGATTTTTTTAGGCAACTTATTTTTTAATATATTTTCTGATATACTAAATTACAGAATAGATAAAATATGTTTCATTCTATGTATTATCAGCTCGGTGAAGGTCAATATAGGTTCGGATCTTCTACTATAACATATCATAATATTTGACCATTCATCATAGTAAATGATAATGGCTAAAGTAGCAAGATTTGAATGGAAATAATTAACGGCGTGATGAGATAGATTATATATACTGACAAGTTTTTTTATTATATTTTTTAAGCATTTAACTGCTAAAAATTGTTTGAATCTAAAGAAAATTTTACTATAAAAAAGTTCACGTGGAATTAATACGGTACGGTCGCGGTAGGATAATGATCACTGCATTCGCCCGGATAGCGGAGGTTGGGGGTTCGAGTCCCGTCTGCTGCCTGGTCCGCGTGGAGCTTTTTTAGTCAGCCGTAAACCCTTTTTACCGACACTATTTTTAGTTAAGCCGGTGTGTCTTTAAATTTGTCCTAAGTGGATGGACCAGTCGGTCCAGTCCTTCGATCAATTTTTGATCGAAGATAGTGGTATAAATTTTATGCGTGCGCACGAGTGGGTCCTGTCTGGTCCTGTCTCTGAATGGTTAAGATTCACTGCACCAGGTAGCTATCGTTGCAGTCGGGTTCAAGAACATTTTTATATTTTATCGTTCAGCCAACGCATGTCGCTTCCACTAGTTTTTATGTAAAATGGTCCACCTTTCTAGGTACACGGCAATCCGTTGCGCGCAATTGCATTTGCTCCAAGTGGCTTTTCCCTCAATTGCTCAATCCGACCTCGTCCTTCGTCTACCCAAAGACTTCGCCCGCGAAGGATGGCTCTGGAAGACAGGACCGAAGCCTTCAGACGCTCATAGAAGGCGTTGGTTCACGTTAGACAACAGGAAGTTGATGTATCACGATGAGCCGCTCGACGCCTACCCTAAGGGCGAAATCTTCGTCGGTAAGTGCAACATTTTTGCGGGAAAAGTATGTATATGGAAAAAATAGTTGACAAATACCACATGCACCTACATCGCAATGATCAAAACTAGTTTAGAAGATACATCACTATCCGTAACTTGGGTTGTAAATAAAAGAATTTAGTTTTTGAAGTAAATTTCTTTTCGAATGAAAAAATCTTATGGAAAATATGAAATGGAAATGCGTCACGAGCGTCACAACACTATATTTATATATATTTGTGTGTATGTGTGTGTGGGATGTGTGCGTAGCTCTTCCCAACGAGCATGAAAGTTGAAGGGTAACTCGGCGAAGGTTGAAACGTCACGAGCGTCACACGCATATAGTCGCGTGTGACGCTCGTATCATATCGCATCACATATATATATGAGTGATGCATGTGCCGCTTCATTCCCCTATGACTTATACACCGCCTAATGTTAGGTTATTTCAAAAAAGAAGTTTCACTTCAGATGTGTGGTCCGTGCACACAACTATTTTTATTGTTTTACGCAATATTAATAACGTAGAAGTCAAAATTGAATGTCAGTATTGACAGCTCTCCATGCAGCTCATCTGTTTTGTTAAAAGAAATTATATTGTTCTCTTTATATATATTATTATAGATGAATAATTGGTTACTGATACTTATTTATGAATCGAATTACTGAGAGTAAAGTCATAGAACCCATGTACTGCTAAGTTGTGGAAGTAAATGGTTTGTCACAAGAGAAAATCCTATCCCGGTAGCATTACCAACACAATTTACGTTATATCATGTTTTTTATCGCGTCTAAATGTCAAACTCTATAGTATTTATATATTTGATTTATACTTGACAATTGGGCGTGATAAAAACGAGCGATATGTCATAACGCGGTGCTCATGCTAGGGGGGCTAGACTATATAAGCATCGTCATGCTATCGATGTCGCTTCTCGAAAGACGACATATTGTAATTCTAAATACCACAACATATTTTTGAACAGGTCACGAGTCTAACGGGTACTGCATTCGAGTGTCGAACACTGGGAACGGATGCAAGGATGCGCGCTTCCCCTTCCACCTGGTCACCCCCGAGAGGACATATTGCCTCGCCGCCACCACACACGAAGACAGATCCGGCTGGCTTGCAGTCATACAACAGACTATAAAACGACCCCTCACACCACAAGACTCAGCCAGTGAGTATAATCACAATCCTGCTCACATATTTTGTCACCCTAGTGCAAACATTGTTTAGTTACAACCACATCCGAGGACAGATCTGGCTGGCTCGCCGTCATATACTCCTGCTCACATATTTTATCACCCTAGTACAAACATTGTTAAGTCACAACCACATTCGAAGACAAATCTGGCTGGCTCGCCGTCATACACTCCTGCTCACATATTTTATCACCCTAGTGCAAACATTGTTTAGTTACAACCACATCCGAAGACAGATTTGGCTGGCTCGCCGTTATATACTCCTGCTTACAAATTGTATCACCCTAGTGCAAACATTGTTAAGTCACAACCACATTCGAAGACAGATCTGGCTGGCTCGCCGTCATACACTCCTGCTCACATATTTTATCACCCTAGTGCAAACATTGTTTAGTTACAACCACATCCGAAGACAGATTTGGCTGGCTCGCCGTTATATACTCCTGCTTACAAATTGTATCACCCTAGTGCAAACATTGTTAAGTCACAACCACATTCGAAGACAGATCTGGCTGGCTCGCCGTCATACACTCCTGCTCACATATTTTATCACCCTAGTGCAAACATTGTTTATTTACAACCACATCCGAAGACAGATTTGGCTGGCTCGCCGTTATACACTCCTGCTTACAAATTGTATCACCCTAGTGCAAACATTGTTAAGTCACAACCACATTCAAAGACAGATCTGTACCCTTAGTACGAGTTTTACAATTACGAAAACTATGATAGTTTTCGTGAGCTCGCACTCGTACTAAGGGTACTGATTTTATTGTTTTCGTTTCAATACAAATAAACAGTGTTTATATTCTATCCTTAAATCATTTGCATCTTCATAAATTTTAAGTATATTTTATTACTTTTCACCAAAATGGACATAGAAACATAATTTACAATTCGAAAACTATGATAGTTTTCGTGAGCTCAAACTCGTACTAAGGGTACTGGCTGGCCCGCCATCGTACACTCCTGCTGACATATTTTATCACCCTAGTGCAAACATTGTTTAGTTACAATCACATCCGAAGACAGATCTGGCTGGCCCGCTGTTATACACTCCTGCTCACAAATTGTATCACCCTAGTGCAAACATTGTTTAGTGACAACCACATCCGAGGACAGATCTGGCTGGCTCGCCGTCATACATTCCTGCTCACATATTTTATCACCCTAGTGCAAACATTGTTAAGTCACAACCACATTCGAGGACAGATCTGGCTGGCTCGCTGTCATACACTCCTGCTCACATATTTTATCACCCTAGTGCAAACATTGTTTAGTGATAACCACATCCGAGGGGAGATCTGGCTGGCTCGCCGTCATACACTCCTGCTCACATATTTTATCACCATAGTGCAAACATTGTTTAGTGACAACCACATCCGAGGACAGATCTGGCTGGCTCGTCGTCATACACTTCTGCTCACATATTTTATCACCCTAGTGCAAACATTGTTAAGTCACAACCACATTCGAGGACAGATCTGGCTGGCTCGCCGTCATACACTCCTGCTCACATATTTTATCACCCTAGTGCAAACATTGTTTAGTGACAACCACATCCGAGGACAGATCTGGCTGGCTAGCCGTCATACACTCCTGCTCACATATTTTATCACCCTAGTGCAAACATTGTTTAGTGATAACCACATCCGAGGGGAGATCTGGCTGGCTAGCCGTCATACACTCCTGCTCACATATTTTATCACCCTAGTGCAAACATTGTTTAGTGATAACCACATTCGAGGGGCGATCTGGCTGGCTAGCCGTCATACACTCCTGCTCACATATTTTATCACCCTAGTGCAAACATTGTTTAGTGACAACCACATCCGAGGACAGATCTGGCTGGCTCGTCGTCATATACTTCTGCTCATATATTTTATCACCCTAGTGCAAACATTGTTAAGTCACAACCACATTCGAGGACAGATCTGGCTGGCTCGCCGTCATACACTCCTGCTCATATATTTTATCACCCTAGTGCAAACATTGTTTAGTTACAACCACATCCGAGGACAGATCTGGCTGGCTCGCCGTCATACACTCCTGCTCACATATTTAATCACCCTAGTACAAACATTGTTAAGTCACAACCACATTCGAAGACAGATCTGGCTGGCTCGCCGTCGTACACTCCTGCTGACATATTTTATCACCCTAGTGCAAACATTGTTTAGTTACAACCTCATCCGAAGACAGATCTGGCTGGCTCGCCGTTATACACTCCTGCTTACAAATTGTATCACCCTAGTGCAAACATTGTTTAGTGACAACCACATTCGAGGACAGATCTGGCTGGCTCGCCGTCATATACTCCTGCTCACATATTTTATCACCCTAGTGCAAACATTGTTAAGTCACAACCACATCCGAGGACAGATCTGGCTGACTCGCCGTCATACACTCCTGCTCACATATTTTATCACCCTAGTGCAAACATTGTTTAGTGGCAACCACATCCGAGGACAGATCTGGCTGGCTAGCCGTCATACACTCCTGCTCACATATTTTATCACCCTAGTGCAAACATTGTTAAGTCACAACCACATTCGAGGACAGATCTGGCTGGCTCGCCGTCATACACTCCAGCTCACATATTTTATCACCCTAGTGCAAACATTGTTAAGTCACAACCACATCCGAGGACAGATCTGGCTGGCTCGCCGTCATACACTCCTGCTCACATATTTTATCACCCTAGTGCAAACATTGTTAAGTCACAACCACATCCAAGGACAGATCTGGCTGGCTCGCCGTCATACACTCCTGCTCACATATTTTATCACCCTAGTGCAAACATTGTAAAGTCACAACCACATCCGAGGACAGATCTGGCTGACTCGCCGTCATACACTCCTGCTCACATATTTTATCACCCTAGTGCAAACATTGTTAAGTCACAACCACATTCGAGGACAGATCTGGCTGGTTCGCCGTCATACACTCCTGCTCACATATTTTATCACCCTAGTGCAAACATTGTTTAGTGGCAACCACATCCGAGGACAGATCTGGCTGGCTAGCCGTCATACACTCCTGCTCACATATTTTATCACCCTAGTGCAAACATTGTTAAGTCACAACCACATTCGAGGACAGATCTGGCTGGCTCGCCGTCATACACTCCTGCTCACATATTTTATCACCCTAGTGCAAACATTGTTAAGTCACAACCACATCCGAGGACAGATCTGGCTGGCTCGCCGTCATACACTCCTGCTCACATATTTTATCACCCTAGTGCAAACATTGATAAGTCACAACCACATCCGAGGACAGATCTAGCTGGCTCGCCGTCATACACTCCTGCTCACATATTTTATCACCCTAGTGCAAACATTGTAAAGTCACAACCACATTCGAGGACATGTTCGCGCCCTTCGTTGCTATAACCCGGGTACTCATTAGCGAGCTATAACCGTAACATGCGTGATACAGTAAGAGGTTCTTGTGAGTACGCTTGTAGCTCAGTTATAAGCGTCGGCACGCTGCAAACCGCACGCGTACCGCTCGCAGCAGGTTAGCGAACCACGTACACACTATGCTTTTGGTTACAGTACATGCAACGGTTACGGTTACAGCTCGCTAATGAGTACCCGGCTTTAGGTTTGGCTATAGCCGTATCTTCGATTTTTGTTTAATCCAAGAGTGTTACTAAAAAACTTACCATTTATTCTTATTTTATACTTCCTACCGCCATATCTTTATTTTTCGTAAATATTTTCAAAATTCCTGAAATACTTTTCCAACTATTTATGCACGTTACTGATAGACATTTGTATAAAAAAAAAATATTAGAGGAAAGAAATATTTACTTAAAATTACTACCTTTTCAGTTGAAGCAGTGCTGGTTAGGAAGAGGACGACATCAAACTCCATGAACATCTTCTCTGGTAGGTAGTTACTCTGCCAGTCTTACACGTACGCTGTAAGATAAATACTCGAGTGCATATTATGTGTCTGTAACGTGAAACACATGGACTGTTGGATATATTTAACAACCGTTTCGAAAATCTCCTTTAGTACCTTTATAGAACCGCATTTGAAAGACGTTTTTTGTCTGTAAAAATTACGTTTACTAAAACTTGTGTTTGGTGAAAGTAAGTAAAAATAACTATTTAAGTAGTTATTTAACAATTGATCACGTTTAGTTTGTTCTTTGTTTAAATCTACTTTTACATTGTAATCATAAATTATTTAATATGTATTCTTTAGTTTTAGCACAACGTTGGGACTGAATCGATTATGTGTTAAATTATTGATTTTATTTATTTGTAAAGATTTCATGTGCGAATTATGATTTTATATCACTAAGGTATATCCAGAATATCGAGATATAAACTTGGTTGAACGCACAAATATCATGTATTATCTAGTAATAGTAATTATACATATGATAGTAGAATCCAAAGTGTTTGTCGAAATATCAGTAATAACATTCATATTATATAAGACTTTATAACGATCATGTGTAATAATCTACAAACCATTTATAGAATAGCATTAGACCATTTACACGACGAGGAGTCTTATAATAGTGGTATAAGGGAGTATTTATCTTGTTCCACTCATCAGTAACATCAAAAATAAAATCCGTAGGCTCTCTCAATTTAGATATCCACGTATGAAAAAGTAATTATTTTAAAAGAACTTTATTTTTTTACTATAAATAAATATTTGAATAAGCAATATTTGACGTCGTTTAATGATGATGGTTAATCGCTACTTTAGAATGTAAATGGAATATTATAGATATGTGATTAATCAAGAAATCTTTAAAAATGATTCGTTGACAAGAAAATAGGGCGACTTATCACAAGCGCTTATATGTAACAGCATTGTCTTGACTTTACTTATTTAAATGATATAAATTCTACGTTATTTCAACTTAATTTTCCCCCCTTTTTTGCGCCAATAACAGATGGTATTAAGGTAAAAAAGACTGTTGACTCATAAGCATTTGGGGTAAGCTCAAAAGTGACTATGTTTTTTAAGATCATAATACCAAAAGAAGAAAATTCTAATTCATTTCAGTTTTTTTAAGTATCAAACACTTTCTTTTCGTAATGTTACTGTGCTTAGTGGTGGATTCTTAGGTAAAAAGTATATATTGTCTAATATTCGCCTATATCGGCTCTCTTGTGTGCTTAAACTAATTTACAAGAACATACTAATTATATTGTTTTGATATAGCTGTCCCTTATATTGTTGCTAGATTCGGGTACTAACAAAAATAGCTAAATTTACCAAATATTTGGTTTTAATTTGTAAATAAAATATAACGGCCCAAGAATCGCCTGTGAAAATATTTTTTTTTCATTTAGGTAAACAGTAATTTTAGTAAATCCCAATTATCCTATATTCTTTGACCACTGGGCTTTATTAGTTCAAATAATTAGAAATTACCAATGTTGACATAATGTTAACTACAATTTTCAGACGTTTATAAGACTGTCAATTTTTATATATCTTTTCCTACAACTCACTTAGTCCAAATTCGTTTTATAAGTAACATTGATTTCAGCTTGTTATGCTTCTTCGCACTAAACATTCGGTATGACACTCTCAAATGGGTTGTGAAACAATCACATTTTAGTTTAAACTATTGAAACAGTACTTATATGGGTCCCATACCCGTATAATAGATTTTTTGTGCCCTGAAAGTTCCGTTATAGGTTTGAGATTGTGTCCTCCAATAAATGTATCGAACGTCTATCATAATTTATCTTTGAATTATACTTACAATAAATATTGTTTATTCGTACAAAAAAAATTAGAAAGTACCTAACTCTTATTTTGTAAAGTGAAATCTAAAATTAGACAAACACGTGCTTTACGACCTTTTTGAGTGTGTTTAATTAAATAGATATTGTATTTTCATTATCATTAGGTATCTAATAATGATAAGGATTTATAATAATGCAACTAGCAATGCAATAATGTAGCATGCACTGGGAGTGCGAATTAGTTAATAGTAATTCTGGAATAATGTATTAAATAATTATATTAAATAGACAAAAACATTGTCACGTTATTGCAATGTTCATGATATCGAGCATTTCGTTTGAGTTGCATTGAAATGAACTAATCTTTTACCTGACGGAAATGGGAAAAAGTTATGTTCAAATAGGAATATTAAAAATCCGTTCCTTAATTCCCTATATATTCATAATTTTCGCTAATTCGTTAATCCTAACTTAATATGCTGCGCACGGAAAGCGTGTTCCAGGGAGCACATAGTAGGCGGCTACGTGTTCCCTGGAACACGCTACCCTTAGGCATTGTTATATTTTCTCTTTATAAAAGTACGTCTTACTAATTTTTATGACTTTTCTGAGTGACGATCCTTGATCAATATGTAAGCATTTCATCCTTGCCTCTTCCCTTCCATTGCTAATGCCTTCCTTAAATATGTTAAATTAAATGATTAAACAACAATCTTGCAAGAATTTAATCTAAGTAATGTTATTTTTAACAGCTAATAAGATAAACATTGCATTATTAAGTATTTATCAAATAAGATCAAATACTCTGGAATATTGGCTTTAATTTATGTTGTTTTTTAAACATAATGTATCTGTATAAATGTGTATAAATATCATCACAATTTAAATACGGAGGAAATGATGAAAGTAAGAGTAAGGGGAGAGGGGATTAAAGTTAGTTGAATAACATTTAGAAATAATTATAAACAATATGAGTTATTCTGTTTACGATTTATTAAAACAAAACTGTCTGCCGAATATTCAAAGGTTTCATAAAAAGACTCAGCGTCGAATTTAGATAAAAAACAGTAGTATTTAACTTCTATAACATTTATAGGCAAAATAATTTATTAATAAAATCATATTATTCGTTATTAAATTTTAAAACTATTGAGCAAATTGTGAGATATAAAAATAAAAACAAGTTATATAAGTATACAATTTTAAGACCTATCGCCTTTTGAACTTCAGTTTATGTTGTGTACCTATTCAACTTTAGTATGATGCGTTTTCCATAACATGGCGCTACTCTAACGGTTTACAATTCCATGTTTATATAAATCGAGCATAACTTCTATTCAGTATAGGTATGTTGATAGAACTAATATTAGTGACAAATTGAATTATACGTTTGAGCTGTTAATTAAAATGAATCGTTTGAATATTCGACAGTCAGCTCTTTCGTATAACGTCAAAAAGCTAGGAGACTACCAAAAATAATGGTAGAATAGTAAGTTAGTACATATTTTTAGTATAATGTATACTTTACGGACATTTACAATACAGGACTATAAGCAAATTGCTTGATAAGGAGTATGAATATAATTCATCTACGATAGAGTAGCGTTGAGTATGGAATTTATAATATTTGATAAAATTAATTTTAGGAATTTATTAAGCGTTGCGTAAAATCACTTAAAAATTAGATAATGTTTGTCCAAAATTATATTTTGTGACCAAGTGTGTTTTATTGCATACGATTTGCGTGTAATGTAAACAATGTTTGATGTAGGGCTTTTGGTTCGCCAGAGACTAAGGCGTCGTCCTAATTGAAAACGATTGTGCGATGGCGCGATGCGATCTCATCGTGCGAAAATTATGTACCTGTGCTCGTGCGACGGTTTACGAGCTGTATTAGGACACCTCTGAAGAAGTCTGTATGTTTGAAAATCATCGCACGACAAGAACGCATCGTGTCATCGTACGATCATTGCCAATTAGGACGACGCCGTATAGATTTCGCAATTTGTTACAATCAAGGAGATGGAACGTGGAATCTTGAAGGATCTTGTGATTTTGTAAGCAAACCCAAAATATAAAAAATGTGATGCAGTCACTTCACTTGGCTATTCATGTTTGCTATTCATAAACTTGATAAAAGTCTGTCCTTATCATGCCTTATAGGGAATGAAAAGGACAGACTGATATCAAGTCCACAAATAGCAAATACGAATAGCTAATCGTAAGTAAAGTGTCGGCATAACGCATTTTATCATTTGACTGCTTCATTCAGATTTCACTAGGACTGCGAACATTAGTAAAATTGTTATAGAGTCATCAAAAAACCAATTTTAATGTTTCCTAGATAATGTACAATTTTGTTTAGCTTCGTATTTGAATAGAAATTAGGTACTGCCACAGTAATACCCATATTATTATATAAAGGTACCTATAGACTTTGTGGTGGAAAATACACCGGTTATACTTAGCGTAAGTTTAGTGTAATTTTATTTAAACAATTTTTTACCAAAATATGCCTCGCTTAAGTTTACTTTATATTATTTTTTGTAAATAATCGAAATAGTTTATTGATTAGTGTGCTCTGACATAATATTATGTTCTTAAACTGTTCTTATATATAAAAAACAATAAACTTGTCACCGCTAATAGACACTGAATTTTATTTAGTTATTTGCCGATTTACTTTCACGCAAGTAAATAAGTATACATCCCGGCAAACTTCGGTTGCTTTCCAATTACAGAGCATAATGCGACTCAGTGCCGCACAATGCCGAATTATGCTGATGCACCAGCAGAGTGCGCGTTCAGTGTTGAAAAAAAAGTCAATGTTAGTACTTACCTACATCCATATTAATATTTAATTTTTAACACAGTTTGAATTAACTTTGATTATTTAAAAAAAAACTATGATGAAACGAAAGTTTTTATAATTTTTCAACAATAAATAATATTAGTAATGATAACATATAAATAAATCATTTCGATCAATGTCAATAAAGAAAAAACACTTGTTAATTTTCTGTCTCTAAGTTGGTAAATCGTACCAACTTAGAACGCATCACACGAAAGCATCACTTTTGAGAGTGCTCAATTGTGCGAAGCGTTGCTGTAGTTGGAACACTCAACGTTAAGCATTATGCCGCATAATGCGCTATAATGCTGTAATTGGACAGCTACCTTCTTGAGCAACGACCACATATAAGGGAGTCCGCGCAGTAGCAATTTTACATACAAAAAGATTAATTTCTTATGTAACTGCGCAAGTTTATTTGTCTGTGGAAAGTTAGCCGCGACTTATAGGCCGTATACAGAAAGAAAGCTGGAAGCCGAAGAGCGCTTTTCAGCGCTGGTAACAGTTACATAAAGGAAGTAGATTAAAGCCTAGTTGTTCATTAATTTCAAAGGGCGGCGCCAGCGCTGACCAACGCGTGTCGGCGCTTATCGGCGCTGGTCCATAGAAATGCTTGCGTCGGTTACCGGTAAGAACCAGCGCCGACAAGCGCTGATAAACGCTGGTCGGCTTCCAGCTTTCTTTTTATATACGGCCATACTTAGTATTTTATCATTTATCTGTCTTTTTATGAATTTAATTTGGGAGTCAACTTAATATGACTTACTTCTGGATTAGCTACTCGGTTTCGTCCCCAGTTTTGCAAATCGCCACTTATTATATTGTAGGTAATTTTGTGGAGTTAGTCCTTTTTACAGTGGCCTTAATTTTTGTCATTATCAGTTTAATAACGTCCCCACTGTTGGGACACAGGTCGCCATTAAGTTTGGCTCGCACTATAACATCTACCTTACCGAAAACTACAGTCAAATAACATTTTGTTTGTTTAAAGCCGCCTGTACATGTTGGCCAATCGAAGGCTAATACCAATATTTGTCTTGCCCTGTCATCGCTCGGTGTCGCTTGACTAATTTTCCGAGTCAAGGGAAGCTCCAACGGGTGTAGATCTCATTTAGTGTCGCTCACGAATGATCTCAATATTATTATTATATTTCTTTGAACCTGTTAATAATATATAAATAAAACATAAAATAATTTGTCAAACGTCGTCGAAAATAACTGATAGTGCACCAACATATGCGCAACAAAGCTCGTCTATATTGGCCGCTTGCCTTGTATCAGTTTGCCTACGCTTGCGTTGGGTGATGGTTGGCCAAAATGATACTTTATATGCATTAGCGTAACTAGGGATTTTCCTGGGGGCACCCGTTCAGTTGAGCTTACAATCTATCTGAATTATTTTTGAACCTTGTAGCCAATTTTCAACCCTCCAGTTCTAAGGGGGCTGGGTCGGGCAATTTCCTACCCAGCCCCCCTAGGTACCCCTATGTTTATATAATAGCTATGCTTACTACACTCAAAGTAGGTATGTATACACACCGACAAACTTCTTGAGCAACGACCATTGACAAGGAATCCTGCGCAGTAGCAATTTTACGTACAATCAGTGCTGCCAACCCGAATTTTAGAAAATTAGTAGATTCTGTGCCAAATGTTGGTTGAAGTTGGTAGAATGTAAAATGCAAAATTGGTAGATCTACCACCTGACCTCAATTTAGAAGATTTTTTAAGATTAAAAATGTATGCAATGCAATGCAGAGCACACTTCAGATCACACTTACATGATTTGCAATAAAAATATCCGTCACCCTTAGTAATTTCTTGAAGCCAACCTGCAAATTAATTGTCTTCCTCCCATAATTTCGAATATTTTTGGTCATAGTTTCTAGGTTTTCGTGGCGGAGTATCTAACCTAGAACTATGTGCATCGCTTTCGCTGCTGTCAGAATCCATTATATAAATAAATGCACGCAACATAGAACAAACAGCAATCAGCACCGTTAATACGCAGTTAATTAGTTTTTACAATGAAACAGGAGCAAAGATTCAACATTGATTCCGCAACAAACCAACCGGGAATAGGCCACAGTAGGAATAGTAAAATATGGGCGCGAAATTGTGCGAACGCCGAACTCATATCAACTGTTGCTGACGTTTTTTTTTGTGTTTTATGGCCTGGACTCTATGTATGGTTGAGGCATCGTTGCATGGCTCACGCAATACATCGCAACGTCGCTCGTCGATATAAAAATAATACAAAGTGGTGATATGTCAAACTAATTAAAAAATATGTAGTTTTTAGGTCTAGGGTGGTAGATAGGTAGACTGAAGTGAAAATTGGTAGATCTACCAAAAAGTTGGTAGATATGACAGCACTGCGTACAATAAACACCTACTGCGCAAGTTTATTTGTCTGTAGTTTTGTTCAAGAAGTTGGCCGCTACCTTATACTTACCATTCTTAATATAAAAAGATATCAAAGATATTTTAATAAGAATAATAAAGGTAACGTTTGTAGTATAATTAAACAGTGCTGGATTATAATTAAACTGATCCGGCAAACTTCGTATCGCCACAGTCAACGAATGTAAGGTATCTTAAATTTTTAGAAACTTAAATTCTTAAGTTTTTAGGTAATAAATATTATATTTTTCTTTGTATTCAGCGAACACATTGTTCAATTCGCATCACAGCCTTCACCTGTAGCGTTGCCAGCCCTTTTTTTTTTGTGACGAGTGGAAATGCAGTTACTCACCATACTGTGACGCTGACTAGGCGCACGGCGTGTGTGGGACTCACCGGCACGGGAAACAGTGCCGACCCTACTCAAGCAGGACCAGTGCGGAAGGCCACACTGATCCTACTCCACTAAAACCCCCCGGTACCCTGCTACGCCCATATGGGGGCGGTCTCGGGGCCGACGCACCTGCGTGCGCCACATCTCCGAGCACGCCCCCGGGCAGGCCCGGCCCAAAGAGTGGACCGGGCGACGCGCCTCAGGGGGACTGCGCTAGGGTACTAGGCAGTCCCCAGACGTGGTGGCCTATGCCGAAGCGGCACCTAGGACGCGCGGCTGGTTCTTCGGCCCACCCGTCTACGCCGGAGTTAGAGCGTCCTCCTCCCACTCCCTCTCCGCTGCCTCCTGCGTCATCACCGATTCGCAGAAGGAGGCGGCAACCCTCCAGGCTCTCTCGCTACCAAGCATGGCTCTTACCATACTTGGCAGCGTGAGGCCTCCGCCGCCGAGCGCCGTCTCGTGCGGGACGAGAGGCACTCCGCCCAGACCGGGGCCCCGTACAGCGCCATCGGCTTTATCACGGAGTGATAAAGCCAACGGCACTTCGCCTTCGGCCCCCCCACATTGGGGAGGAGGCGACCGAGTCCGGCTGCGACGCCGCACAGCCAGGGAGCGAGGAGCCTGAAGTGCTCCTCCCAGCTCCATCAGGGGTCTAGGGTCAGGCCGAGATACTTGAGATGCATCTCGACCGGAACCCAGACCCCCTCTACCCGGGCACGGAGCCCCGGCGGGGTCCTGCATCTGGGACCGTGAAAGGCCATGGCCTCGTCTTTTCGTGGGCCACTTCCAGTCCCAGGAGGCGGATGCGTCCGACGACCATGGAGGTGCCGACCGACGCAAGGTGGACCGCCTCCTCCCACCCCCTCGCTCTCGCCGCTACAAGGGTGTCGTCCGCAAAGCAGACGACATCCCCTCCCCCCTCTCCACCAGCACCGGGGAAGGGCCCGCACTTGCCGCCACGATGGCAGCGGTGCCATCCGTAGCCCCCATCCACATGTCGGACGGGGGGATACGATACGGCTCGGAGACCACCGCAAGGTCGACACCCCACTCCGCCATCGTCTGGCACAGGAGATCCTGTGCCCCGGCGGAGTGGTTGAGGTTGGCCTGGAGCAGTTTCCCCAATGTCCTACTGGGCATCGTTGACGGACATTGGGGTCACCGCTGGGGTCGCCTCTGGCGTGGCGCGGGGTGCCGCCTCTGGTGCGGCACCAGGAGCCGCTGCCGGTTTCGGCAGGCGGCCCTTGACGGGAGGGGGCAGGGTTGCCAGCCCTACAATATAATATAGTATCCTACTTTATTAGGCGATCAAATACTATATTTATAAAAAATATATGTAGTAGGCAAAACTATAATATTTTGCTTAAAGCACTGATGCCAGTAAAAGCTTTCTTAAAATTAAAAATGTATTTATTAATTCATAGACCAGCAAAAATATATTAATTTCAAAAATAAAGTCAATATTTTAACCACATACTGATGTCGATTCTGGCATGATTCTCTAAAGCTAAACTTAAATTTGACAATAGTGCATCTTTGACATTCCCTATACAGAATGAAAAGGACAGACTGAGTTTAAATTTAGTTTTAAATTAAGAGAATCCTGCTAAAATCGACACCACTATATATTTTATTAATTTTTTGCCTAATACTATATTTTTAGAGGTGATTCTCTAAATGTATAGTAATTTCGTGCTTCGAAATTACTATACGATAGAAAAAAAGTTGGTAACCCGACCTGTAGGTATTCTTATAGTTTTCGGTATATTTTGATCGTCATCCTCCTACTTAAACTTAGTTAATTTGTAAAAGGTATAATTTTTTTAGGCCTGTATAAAAATTTCATAAAAGAAGAAAAATATTTCAGGTACTTAGTTATAAATCTAACGAAAATTGTAAAATCTACTCGGTCCAGGCATTTGTTTGCAGGTCATAAAACTTACAAGCAAAAAAATATGGCAATTTTTTTTACAGATCCATCTAACCAAATATGACTAGTAACAACGGCGCTTGTTTCAATATTCGCCGGGCCGCATTCATAAAAGGATAACCGTCGCATTGCAAACTATTTTTGTTTGTTTTGTCAGGTTCGGAAGTGACGCACCGTGACATCCACTTTGTTCAATATCCAGTTACCACTAAGGGGCTCCTTCACCTCTTGTTATATAGTGTCACTAAAATAACATAATGGGAAGATCGTTAATGCAAAAGACAGCGGATGGCAAAAGGTTACGGGTTCGAGCCCCATTTGTTACCTGAGCCAAATAGACCTTTTTAGATTTTCTAAAATTATTGTTTTCTAACAGGGCAACGAATTACCCCATCTCAATTTTGACAAGTTTTAAGTGGAATCCAGCACTATGGATTACTTTAATGCGGTAGGTAAAAGTGACGCTTCAACCATTCTCATCTTGCCATCTCTACCCAAACCTGTAGCGTGTGGTGCCTGTGGTGCCATGGAACCTAGGTAGGTACTCGCTAACGTATCACAATATCACTACCTAAAGTTAGTGTAACTTTACCGTTGACTTCTGTAAGGGGGAAATTATTTCCCAACACTGATGCTCCAATTTGCTGTACCCTACTATTTGATGACAGTCTTCTGTAAAGTGGAGATCACCTCCCCAATATTGGATCGCCAAATCGAGAGGTCAATCGATTTTACCTTACCTCTCATAAAACAGTATTCAACTATTCCTGGTTGGCTATACTTTACAGCTGCTCCGGCGCATCAAGTACGATCAATCAAGAAATAACAGGTAGGTACTTCGTGACTGGACTGCACTTACACCTAACATCAGGTGGGGAGGGGTAATTTGTTGCACCTCTTATAAAAAAAACCGGATTGCCGTTTTCGTTTTGGATTAGCATTCGAATGTTCTATCTAGTAAGTGTTTATTTTTACTTCAATTGTACCTACTTCAGATTTTAGTAGAGAATAAGTATTACTTTTTACTCTTTAGTGGATTTGTTTGAATGAAATAGGTTTTTATTTTGTGTACCTATCTATTTTAGACGAAGCCAGCCTGAAGAAGTCTGCCTATCAAATTTTAGAAAACTAATCATTCACATAAACGAAACTAATCTTTCAATTCAATGTGTCTAATATTTACATACCAGTTTTCTTTCTAAAATAAACATTTATCTCTCATTGAACAGATGACATCGCATGGGCATCACCCAAATATTCACAAAGTGGTTTAATGTAAACCGATATTCTTGTCCCATTCCCCCGGTTCCGTTCAATTAGAAAAATTTTGAACGGTTATTCTCTTACATAAACAACCAAAATAAATGCGACTCATCGTCATAAAATTTATTTGACATTATTTTATTTTCGTACTTAATATTTACAAGTCTAAATATAAGTACAGTGATCACATTATGTTATTTAAAGTCACGTCTTTTAAACATCAGCTGCACTCAAAACCTCTACTTTTAAGCTTGACTTAGATATGATGTTACTTTAGTCTAAGAGCCAGCGTTCCGCAGACTTACGGTATATTAGCAAAGTCCTTATTAATGCTAGGTATACTGTTTCACCTGCCGCGGCCGTAGGTAAAGTGGGGATTGCCTATTGGGTTCCTTAGGGCGTGCCCAAAGGTCAAAAAGCATCAACATTAATAAGGACTTTGCTACTTTACCGTAAGTCTGCGGAACGCTGGCTCTCAGTCTATTTCCTTTCCCTCACAATAAAATGAGACAATACAGAATTTAATTAAGTATTAAATTATTTTCATGATTCTGAGTACAGCTGTATGCTACGGTGAGTAAAAATAACTTTAAGCTGGATATCTGTGTACGTAGTAGATACTTTAGAAAATCTTTGGCTTAGTAAATATATTGCACTAAAAACCTACAATCTCAAATGAATTCCAACTTCACTATCTGAGCCCTTAACTACCAAGCACGTATTGGCAGATATCTTTGGAAGCAATTGTATATTATATAATATAAATGTGTATATTATGTCAAGGACAACATATAATTATGTCTTTCAAATTAGCTATAACTATGATTTCAATGCAATCTTTGGCTGTCTAAAATAAAAGCTCCTTTAAGACATTTATATTCAATATAATTTGCACACATGCCGCTAGTTTTCTTTGGTTTAAGGCCGAATCTGATTTTCTCAGTGCCAGTAATTAAGTATAAAAATAAATACCTTAGAATTCAGAGCTAAGAGCTTTGCTTGCGAATGGTTATGACGTTATATTTCTCCATCATTAGGATTCTTCATTAGAAAGTGCGTGATGGAAAATAACTTTAATATAACTTAGGTTTTCATCTTACCTCTTGTAGGTAAGTAAATATGTTTCTTAGAAATATCAAAAATCATAGCGTTCGCCCGAAAATAGATTGACTCTCAGATTCAGTAAGCCTGTTCATCGAAAAATTGAATTTGATAGTATAGAGGTAAGATGAAATACCTCTTGTAGGTAAGTAAATATGTTTCTTAGAAATATCAAAAATCATATTTCAAGAACAGTTGCAAATCGATTGCAACATTAACTTGGTAGGGGAAAACCGGGAGACTTGCCCAGGTAGGTGTATTTAAATTAAGCGCAAACAAAACGTCAATAAGTTCATTGGTCACATGTAAGACCACAATCACAACAATAGTTTTGCACCGGACCAATAAACGAATTGACAAGTCTCCCGGTTTTCCCCTTTTATTTTGTTTTTCGATGACGGGGAGAAAAATTGCATTATACCTCTTTTGAAAAGTAAAAAATTACACGTTATTCATAAGATTCTCTGTTGAATAGGATCTCATTTCGTAATAATTGTCCTTGTATGGATAATCACAGAAATTCATTGGTGTGGGCTCGTTCATAGCGTCATCATATCCTCTATCGTCGTATTCGTTTTCTAAATATTCCTGGGTGTACTGTTCGTTGCAGCCACTACTGCTGTGGCTGTCGATTTTCGATTGCGAATTGTTGCGATTATTCGAATCGTTCAGTTGTCCGTTAATGTTCCATCTTTGCGATATAGAACAGCCTAAAGATCCACCGTGTTGAAAAGCGAATGGCCATGCCTGAAAAGAAACACTTATATTAGGTATGGCAAAAACAGTTGCAGACTAGGAAATGGTTACATGATTTGCGTAAATATGAGTCAATTATACTTTTAACAGGTATATCCTAATTATGATTTTTATATTTATCGAAATAAAACAATTTGGTAATAGCTGTTTACAAAAAAGTGGCGTACTGTTGATCTTAAAATCATTTCTCGGGCAAAGCTTTTAACAACTAGGCATTGTAAATAATTCATATCCTAAGTATATCAAGCAAGTCAAAGTTTAACTGATATACGAACAACCACACAAAGGCTGTATTCGGAACAGGAGGCCTATTCTAATTCAACGAAAAACCAAATTTTAATCGAAACTTCGCACGTTTCTTTTCTATTTTAATATTCGTTCGCCCGAAAATAGATTGACGTTTAAATTCAGTAAGCCTGTTCATCGAAAAAATTAATTTGATAGTATATCGTTCAAATTAACTATTTGAAATTTCGTTTGAACTTCGTTACCGAAAGGTCGTTTCGGAGAAAGAGAGTGGACCCCCAGCACCTTTCGCTATCCGGATGAATGCAACACCCCTATGCTGCCGATACTGAGGCTTTATAAATATCATTTAGTGTGTAAACCTACTACGTACCATTTATGTCAATATTCATTAAACCCTTCAATTTGGTATCTACAATATTTGCGTCATTTATTACAAAAAAAATATATCCAGTGTTAAAACCCTTCTTCCGGTACATTTGCGTAAAAGGCACATAGACTTCCCTTAGTAAAGAGTTCTCATCAATATGCGAAGAAGACCTCCCAAGTACCAGTCAGCAAAGATTCTTTGAGACCCAACCGCACTTTTTTGTTCAAATAAACATCTCGCTATAAAATACAATAAGTGTGTTTCAAAAATCATAAATATTTAGTTGGACTATGTCTGAGGTTGCAACATGAACCTACCTAGTGTCGTCATAATGAAAATTATGTAAGTCGTAGTTGTGTGTAATTTGAGCAATCATATTTCATAGAAAACTCATCGTAAACTACAACGGTATCTCAATTCGAACTTTTTGTAAAAAGCTGTACCTTAAAATACATTCAACAAAGACAGTTTACCATAATCAGCCTCTGGATGCAGTCTAACTGCTAAGATGTAGTTGGGATTGAATTCTGTAATAGGTCATGTCATCACAAACTTTGTGTAGTTACCATTTTAGTGTTAAATTTTATTACGTTGATCAACTTTTAAAACATTTCAATTCTAATTAATTTTAATAGCGTATCCAACCTAACTTTCAAACGAATCACGTTGAACCCTGTCAGTAAGTTGTACAAATACTTATAAGGCATAATGTAAGGGTACAATAATTTAACCGCGATAAGACATTATTATAAGAAGATTAAATCCATTCGAAATACGTATATACGAAAACGAGGAATTATATCGTCGCTTGAAATATTTATAATTAGTATTTGAAGTCGAATTGTTGAGTACCTGGTTTTATTGTCTTTCGAATGAGAATTTCGAGTAGAATCATCACGATGTAAATAATACAAAGCATCTTCGGGGTTAACAATAAAACCTCTTTAAACGTCCGGAGATAAACTTTATTTATACGCACCAACAGCTGCAAACTTTTGGTCAGCGCGCGCGCACCATCTCAGTTTGTTTGTTCTAACCTTTTTGTTCCTATCTCTACATCTTTTTGGCTTTGTTTGTGTTTTACGGAAAGATCGGAAGAGGACTTTTATATTTTACGCGAAGTGGAATGTTTATTTTGTTTTCGTTCAGAAGTGGAACACACAAGATGACATGACAAGCTAAGAGAATGAAGATTTTGTGACGAAAAAACATTAATTGCTAAGTATTAGTGGCATGTAGATGTCTATTACAAAATATTTAGATAGTGTAAATAGGAAACTGCTTTGAAAGAATATATTTTAATTTATTTCCCCGATAAAGTGTTCAAGTAAATAACTCTCTTACACGTTTTTATGTCTACCTCATGATGTGGCAAGTCGTTGGATAGGCCTTTCAAATATATAAAGTTTGTTGCGGCAGCGGCCGGTGAAGCGCCAGAAAAATAATACCAATTCTACAGTAATTAGGGATAGCGTGTATTCGGCATCGAAATATTAGGTATACAGTGTTATAGGTCTAAAGTTATTAAGGATGGCGTGCATTCGGGCTACAAATATTAGGAATAATGTTCTTTAGAGATATAGTGATTCGGGGTTTCAATTATTGGTATTAAGTATAGTCTGTTACTTTATAATTTTCGTGATGTGTAGGAAAACATATTTTTTTTATTTAACGTTGTCGAAACCTAACCACCAGTAACAGACTAAAAATATAATTAAACATTACACCCATACTTATAGCTCTACGAAACCACATTTGGTATTGACTGGTTGTTATACGGAAACAATAGTAACAGGTTGCTAGCGCATCGCATGCAACTTTCCAAAAATGCTCTATTTATTTTTATTTATTTAATATATTTTGGCTTTACACTGCAAATGCCGGACTGAATAGGCTGAAGAAAGAGACGGAGGGTGGGGACTTGGAGAAGGCAATACGACCGGCTTCAAGCTCTCACTGACGGAGGCCAGCGGGGCCCGGACTTGGGTCCGAGCTGCATTACACAGGCCTTTGCAGATGGTTGGGGATGCCTCGGGGCATCCGTTTGAACAAAAAGGAACAGAGAATTGGGATCGAGTTTTGCCAATACCAATTGAGTTAAGAAACTTCCACATTTCGGCTGGAGAGGAGTCCATGACATTCTGGTGTATATACCGTCATTTAGCACCTCTTATCGTCTGATTGCAGTGGTTTCTTGCACTCTTGAAGACCAACCAAATGAGATCAGTGCGGCATCTTTTAAAAATACGAAAGGCCTTGTCCCTTCTTCGCATGGCAATGCGCATCAAAGGAGTGATCCAGGAAGCAGTTGGCCGTCTCAGCTTAACCTCTTCAATTGGTGCATGATGATGAACGATTTTAACAATGCGGTTAAAAATGGCTCTTTCTTTATTAACGGTTATTTAACCGCATATTATGCTTGTTACAGTTAACAAGCACCGCCAGATGGCGGTAGTGGATTGAAATACGCAGTGCGATTTTAGGAGTGGAAGTACTATTATCATGAATTTGTTCAGATTTTTCAATCTAATAGTTTAGCTTTTAAATGGGGTCGACGTCCTATGCGAACGAAAATTAGCACTTTAAAGTTTATTATTTCGCAAAAGGAGCCCTAAATCGAAAAATAGTCTTAGCAACCCCTAAGTTATTTTAGATGACCTATTCAACGATACTACACGTCCCCTAAAAATTGATTTCATTTTGTTATTTCTGACCGCCGAAGGTTTTCAAATACCTCACGCTCATTTTCTTTAATATTGTTATTACCAATGCAAAAGAAAAAAAAGAGCGCGAGGCATTTGAAAACCTCCGGTGACTCGAAATAACAAAATGAAATCGTAAGCGATAGCGTTTTCCTAAGCAATCCCGTTAGGCGAGTAGCCCCCTGGCCTATCTCTTTATTCGTTAGATCTAAATCCACCTAACATAATAGATGTAAACTAGTTCAAAATCTTATACTCAAACTTTCTTTAAATTTGTTGTATTGTTATGAATAGGTAATTCATATAAAATTCGAAAGAAATGAAAGAACTATACTCGGGTTGTTTTTTTAGAATATTGTTTATTAAACTTTAAAATAAAATATCGTCAAAGGTTTAGATAATGATATCACTTTTTAAATTTTAGGTAATTTTCAACAATTCTCAGTTTCATTATTTACGAATTTTGTTTTATTTAAAACAAAATGTCAACCATAAATCCTGTATCTTTAATCCTCCCATCGATCACTGCAGGCTTTGGATTCTAATCTACATTGACAGAGGTTTGGCTTCAAAAATCGTTCAAAATGGGAGTCTACTCGAGCATTCGTGAACGTGATATCGTGATCGTCAAATACTTAGTAGTTCGTAATATTTGCTTATAAAAAAAAAGCATTTAATCTAAGTTTTTATTAATATACCTTTTTTCACAGTCACAGGGGACATGACCCCAACCAAAAACTAAGGTCAAATTGAAAATCTCAAAAATTAACCAAATAATAAAAGTAAATTTCTAGCTATCCCCTAACAGCGATAAATTTATAGTTTGTTGACATTTAGTCGTGCAGTACTAGTAGACATCTAGTACTAGTTTAAAAAAAAAACAAGGAACCGAACTACGTAGTTTTTGTAATCCTAGCAAAATCGATATGCGTCTTTATGATAAAGATTGTATAACAATTTTTTATAAGTAATGTATAAACTAAATTGTGTCTTGTGCAATAATGTTTATAATTCCAGATACCTATTTTTTATTAGTGTAATGAGTGATCCAAACAATAAGCTTATACATATATGCAATGCTAAAATATAATTTAACTTACCCCGTTTTGGGTTGAAAATAAGTTATTTTAAAACATTTTAAATCGCGCCGACTTAATTTTTAATAGTATCACTTTACTCTTTCTTCTTTATAAGGTTTTTGTTGGTGTGACAATAAAAAAAAATGAGTCGTGATGGAACTGAATTCAGCCTAAATATAAACCATAAACGAACATTTTTAAATTGGTGTTGGTCAAGAAGTCGAATATGGAGGAAGTAAACAAGGAAAACGGTGGCAGTTATGGCATTCCCTTTTCTTTTCTAATAACGTAGGAAATACCATTATTTACAGACGTTGGCGCCCTTAAGGGGCACACCAACGAACGAACCTCACACATAGCCTCTCGCAAGTCTCATGGGTGCGAAACGGAGTACGAGCGTTTACGGCATACTTCCCTGCGAATACCCTCTACGCTGTTCAGTGCAGAACCACGAGGGAGACCGCGAGTTGAGGGATTTCAACGCTTCTCCTCACACACCGTTACACCCTAGATTGCGTCACTCCATACTTTCTTCTCAGTTCAGTTCGGTTCAGTCAGATCAGTTATACTGATCGAACTTGTGCCGTCTAGGCAACAATATCGGTCGCGTTGTAGCCGATCCGAACGTACTGAAGCTGCTTATCCGCTTACGTTACATGCTTAATTTAACTGGACGCCTATTTGACGCAGTCCTAAAGGAGAGCCGGTGTCGATCCCTTTGTCGGTCGAGTTGATGTGTGCTATGACACTTAAATACCAAAATTTAATTACTAAATGTATCCACTAGCATGACCTGGATTGTATGCATAACATATTTGTCGCACAGATTCTGGAGTCCACGTCCATAATACGAAGGGGATTTCCAAGTAAGCTCGTAGCTAGTTAATAAATCTACAAAGTAAATGATGAAGGCAAAAGTTTTTTTCGTCAAATTCTTTAGAATATGGGCGTGTGTGATTTGTGTACGCTTGCGTGCGGTTAGCTCGTGCCGACACGACGAATTAACTGAATGACAAGTGTGACAGGAGATATATGGCGGACAATTATTGCCGAACCTCGAAACCGAGTGACGCTTTTTTTACAACACTAGCTCGTTAATAAATTGACATATTGTAAAGAATCCACGTTTAAGAGTTTCTATTAGGAGTTCGTTGTTACCTAGTATTTTTAAGTAAGTGTAAAAATAAATAATGAAATTTATGTAAAAAAAGGAGCTCGATGGCGCAAGTGGTTAGCGCGTTCGGCTGCGATCGTTGAACTTAAGCAACTTTCGCAGTGGTCGGTCATTGGATGGGTGACCAAATATTACTATCTCGAGCTCCTCCGTGCTTCGGAAGGCACGTTAAGCCGTTGGTCCCGGCTGCATCTGCAGTCGTTAGCACTCACCAATCCGCACTGGGCCCGCGTGGTGAGTCATGGCCCAATCTCCCTATTCCATCCATAGGGAAGGCCTGTGCCCCAGCAGTGGGGACATTAATAGGCTGATGATGATGATGATGATGTAAAAATGTGAAAATATAAGTAAGGTAATTTTCGGTATATGAAAAATGCCTGTACTTATGTGAATTGTCACGCAAAGTTTATAAACAGACTTACATTTCGAACGTGCCTTCCTCGATTGTTAGTATGGTTCCTTTTTATAATTTTTAGCAGCTTGCGCGGTTTCTTTAACTTCCAATTAATTGTTTTTTATAGATAGCTATAGTATAGTAGCTCGATGGCGCAAGTGGTTAGTGCGTTCGGCTGCAATCGTTGAAGTTAAGCAACTTTCGCAGTGGTCGGTCATTGGATGGGTGACCAAAAATTTACTATCTCGAGTTCCTCCGTGCTTCGGAAGGCACGTTAAGCCGTTGGTCCCGGCTGCATCTGCAGTCGTTAGCACCCGCCAATCCGCACTGGGCCCGCGTGGTGGGTCATGGCCCAATCTCCCTATTCTATCCATAGGGAAGGCCTGTGCCCCAGCAGTGGGGACATTAATAGGCTGATGATGATGATGATGATAGTATAGTATAGAATTTAGCTATAGTTCGCAGCCCTGACAATAATCCACTAAGCTCTTCGTCAGGCCAGATTTCCAATCCGGGCCGAAGATACGCTGCTGTACTTACTCCTACTAAGATCTTTTATTATAATATTACCGACCAGACTCAGCGGATGGGGCGACGTATGCGCAGACCTTGGCTCGTGCAGCAACGCCCGTAAGTGTGCGATGTATGAAGCAGCTAGCCGCAACGTGTCGAGCTTCGAAAGCTTCGTGTCTGCCGGCACCCAGGGAAGAGTGGTCTTCAGTCTGTACATATAAGGTCGATGAATAGACACGTCGGCGTAGCTAGGAGGGACGGGGCGACCCACAGTTGAACTAAACTGCGTAAATAAAACTAGTTTTTACGGTTTAATGCACGAACTTTATTTATTTATATTATTTATTCTGGCGATGCAGACCTGAAAAGGCTGCGAAATGTCAATAAATAAATAAAGTTCGTGCATTCACCCGTAAAAAATAGTTTAATTTAAACTGCGTAAAGTCATTTTTCCACTATGGAATTTAAGGGTGGGTATGTTCCCGCTCTTGCTTCCCCTTAGCTACGTCTATGAGTAGACTAATGCAACGGGTTGTTCAGGCCTAGGGGTTAATCACTGTGGATTGGTGGACAGGTACTAGCCATTACTTTGAAAATCAATAAACCAATCAAATATATTTTAAGAGTAATAACAAAGTGAAGAAAAAGTTATCATCCGTTTTGTTTTTGTATAACTTTATAATGAATAATATTTTGAGTGATGGAAATATTTATTTAAACCTTTAAATGTTTTCTCCTAAGAGGAAAAGATGATATCCTACGATTGGCTACTGCCAATGTTGATCTGATTGCTCTAAGAAAGTTTTAGAAAGTTACAATCCATCCATAAACACTAAAATAAGATGATTTCTATCATGTTATTCAATTTTTTTGTAAAATAATCAGTAGTCTAAAAATGTTAGTATAGTTAGATTATGTTACAATGAGGTTAAGTACTTGAATGAATCAAAGGTTGATTTTTTCAAGGGCTGGTGTTGATGGTTTGAGTTTTAATCATTCATCCGTTGATCGCGTAACACTTTAAACGATTTTCGTATTGTTCTACCTGCAAAATGCCTTCGACAGCACTCTCATTCTTGCCCGCTCTCTTGCATTAGCTGCGTTTCTGTGCTGTGGCTCTTGTGTGCTACGACCTATAGAAAGATAAAAAACGATGGGTATCTTTTTGATGACATATGATTTGGTAAATCGATTTTTTGTGATAATCCTAGGGACTTTGCGAAAACGCGGATAATTGGACGATTTTTTTCGTAATCTTAATTAGGGGGTGGGGGACGCGCGTTTTTACAAAAATAAATATAACTGTTTTCAGTAAGATTGAGAAATGGCAGCCTTTTACTGAAAACATATACCTGCTAATTAAGATTACGAAAAGAATCGTTCGGTTATTATAAATATTCTTGGGTTTCTGTGTTCTTGGGTTCACATTAGGTTGGGTTAGTGTTGTGACCATAATGCGCAAGCCGAGCGAGCGTAGCGAGCGTGCCACGGCAGCGCCCGGCAAAGCGCCAGAAAAAAAAACGCTAATAGTAAGATGGGCAATGTCATCGCCACTGTCTAATTATCCGCGTTTTCGGATATATATATATATATATATATATATATATAATCATTATATATAATGATTTTATATTTATATAATATACAAGGCAACCGTTACATAACAGACTCATCTATCAACACATTGCTCATACTATGGAACAAATTGCGCTAAAATATGGCACACATACGAGTATAACTATATAGCTATTATGATGTAGACGTGCGCTTAGAAAAGTTTTTCCAAGACTCTACCCCTAAAGGGGTAAAACGCGGGTTCAAAAATTAACGTGGACGAAGTTGCGGGCAACCGCTAGTTAAATAAATATGTCCAAAACATAGTGGAACGAGACAACCTGTCTGACTTGTGGGAATGGCAACGAGGAACACGGCAATGAATTTATTTTCATGTTACTTACGTCCATGCTATAGTTGGTATGATTCGGTCAGATAATTTGTCTATTGAAATAATATAACAGAAATGCAAAAGCAAATATTTTCGTTTAAGTCGCTAAGCCATGATGGTGAATTTTGGTATGGAGATATATTTGATTGGACATACTGATATCAAACAGCTGAAAAAGGAGGGAATGAAATTCTATATGAGAAAAACGATTATTGCTCTAAACAAACAAAGCCGTGGGCATCAGCAAGTTTATATATGTAATGATATCACCGCTGTATATTTGATTCAGTCAATTCCTGAAATACTAGATAAATTCAGGGTATATGTATTTTACTTCTTTATGTTATTGTTTTTTTAGATCTAAGTAATTAATTGTGCATCATGTTATTAATATAATAATATATCTTAGTGATCTTTCAAGCAAGATTTATTAAGAAAAAAGAAAACGTACGGAAAATCTATCAAAAACGTAGGAAAATAGCACCTAATTTTTTTTTACCAAAATCTCAATTCATTTCCATCTCAATAGTATATTTGCAAACTCGGTGTGATTTGTCGTTAGTTTTACTTAAACTTGATTTTTTAAAATGCTTTCCGTAAATTTTGCATAAATGCTTCTCATACCTACATGCGAAACTTGTAAAAAGTTAAAGTAAAAAATACCATTTAAACTTACTCGAATTCGACTGCGTATCATCGAAGAAGAAGTCATCTTCATCACCATTATCATCACGTTTATCAAGCGGCAATTTATTCGAACGTTTCCTAGGCATATTGTACTACACACATCATTTGGTAAACACAAAAACAGCACTAAAATTTCATTTCAACAGTATATAAAACTTATTGGTAAATAAATTAAAAACCATGTAACTTCTTTTTTCAACTTCGAATTGTGATATCAGTTAGAGAGATCTACTCTATGCACACGGCGTTTTCAATTTGAGAGTGCGAACGCAAGGCGGGCGGCGCAGGCACATTGTATGGGCGGCGCTTGCACACGCCCCTCCCGTAAACATTTTCAGAGCAACCCCTTGACAAATGAGCGACTGCCTTTCATAAAATACTCCGAATTAAACTGTAAAGGGTAAAATTATTCTTTTTTTCAGTGGGAACTCGTCAAAATTGTGTAAGCATGTCATGGATCTTTTAAAAATCACGGCTGTTTCAGGATCGTTATGCAAAAAGTTTATCATCATCACCATCTTAATAATAATGACCTTGACATCTTTCCACGTCTTTCTATATACTTTTAGGGTATAATATCGGTATAGTAATGAATCATTTAACTCATCACTTGAGATCAGTACAGATAAGTAGGTGTTAACAAATGCAAATGCAGCCGGGACCAACTGTTTTACGTGCTTTACAAATTAATAAACAACTACAGTAAAGTAACATAAGGACTCGGCACAATGAAGCCAAAATGTTTTCACGAGGGTACCTAACGCTGTTTTCACGTGAAAGATCGAGTTTTTTCGCAAATTTCACCTTTTTACCTATAAGTACTTGAAAAAAGCTTTACATACTAAACTTGAATACTTTCCTTTACCTTTAAATAAATAAAAAAAAAATGGGTGCGTGTACTTATGTAGGCGCGTGAGAAGTTATCCTTCTTTGGCATCGTTTAAAATTAGTTTTTAATTGCATGCAAATAATTAATTACAATAAATTAATAAAAAGTCTGGAAAAGGACACAGTCAATAAAGTTCAGTTTTAATTTGAAAAAATAAATAAATAATCAAAATATTCAATTAAAATCGCTACTGAATATAATTTATTAGAACATAATTATGTGATTTGCACTTGTATGAAACTCAAACACGTATTCCGAATATACAAACTAGAAACATGTGGATAAATATTATAAATATGAATACCTATAACTGTTACTTTATTTCAAAAAATAAAGATGTGGTTTTTGGTTCTACTACACCAATGGTCAAGAGATGGCGCTGTAGTCTCCTGAATCGCGCTTTGGTTCCGTTGTTCCAGATTAATAAATACTTTTGATAGGCCTTCACAATGCAGTCGTTAGCACCCACTGAATAGAGATTCTATTTCTATTTTGCTGGTAGATTTTCTTAATGTGCGGTAAACACAAAAGTAACAGCATGAAGATGGTCGCTAATTTAGCGACCAACTTCATGCTGTTAATATTTTGTGCTACAGTGATGCGCGCGCATCTTAAAATTTCACCCTCATCATTTTTTCATAACGCGCCTAAAGAAGTATAACTTCAAAAACAAACCAGTTGCCAAGAAATACGTTTTAAAAAAAAACGGCCAAGTGCGTGTCGGACTCACCCATGAAGGGTTCCGTAGCAGCAAGTAACATAATATAAAAGTTCTTGTAGTTCGTTGTAACTTTGATCGCTATTTTAATAATAGTGTTTTTTTTAAATTAAGTTTTTTTTATTATTTGAGTTGATTGAATGAAAGGTAAATTGTGGATTATGAACTTTTAATTATAATTAAAATTTTTGGACTAAAGGTGGTAAACTGTGGAGCTTGTGGAAGTATTTTGGCGCCGGGCAATGCTGTTATTTGCTGTGCTTGCCCAATAAAATATAATAAGGCCTCTCTCGCCATCCCGGAAAAGTCGAGTGTCAGCAAGGTCGAATAAATAATTATAATTGCATAAGTTGATAAAAAATGCTATGCAATAGCTTTACCGCGGCAGTCCACGAGTGACACACGTATTTTTTTTAGTTTTATTATTCTCTTATTTTAGAAGTTACAGGGGGTGGGGGGGGGGGCATTTTACCACTTTGGAAGTGTCTCTGGCGCTAACTATTCAGTTTAGCAATTAATTTTTTTAAGACCTATCCATAGATGATACACGTATGGATTCATGAAAAACGAACATATGGATTTGATGAAAAAAATGTTTGAGTTTCACTTCTATGTATGGCGAACCCCAAACATTTATTGATTTTATTTTTCTATTATTGTGTGAAAATCTTAATGCGGTTCACAAAATACATCTTTTTGAAAAGTTTCAACAGTATGGTGGCGGAAAAAAGTGCCTGTGACATACGGATGGACATACAGAGAGACATGATGAATCCATAAGAGTTCCGTTTTGCCCTTTGGCTGCGGAACCCTCAAAAAAAGGCCTTATCGGGTTCAGTAAAAAAGAGGCAAACAAGATGAGAAGCAACATAGCCTATAGAAGACAGAGTACCAGTAGTGCGTTGTCTACCCTGAGTTCAACTCTGAATATGTGGAGCCCCTGAAATAATTCACGCTTTTTAACATAATTAAATTTTTAAAGAGCTTTTTTAATATGTTTTATGTACGGGGAAATAAAAGAATCAAAAATATTATACGTAATTAATTAAAAACGACTTATTAAATAAGAATCTAAATAAATTGATTCTCAGACATTGACGATCTCCGTAGCTGAGTGGTATATACCAGGTTTCATGGCGTGCTTCAATCCGGATAAATTAGGATCAACGAGACGTCGTAAATAGCATGAATACAACAATATGCTATATAACTCGTTTTTATCACGCTCAATTGTCAAATTATTATGGAGTTTGACAGTAAGGCGCGATAAAATACGTGATATAATGTCACTTACATTGGTGGTGCTCATGCTACAGGGTCAGCACGTGTGACCACTATACGGTGTTCCGTTTTGTTGTACAATCATGACTGCACAGTTTGGACTACGCAGACAAGACGGAACATGTAGCAGAACCATAAGATATAGTTAGGCTGCATCAATGGTTGTTATCACCCACTTATTCATATTGGAACAATTTTTCTTAAGTCTAACCTGCTGCCCGGCGGTGAGGAGACAATAAATTAATAATTGTAAACAGTATTTTCAAAGGTACATTTAAAAAAAGATCTCAATATAAAACTTCATCATCATCATCAGCCCATTAATAGCCCAAATTGAGGGCACAAGTTTTCCTTGGCCAAGGAGATATGGCCTGACCCACCACGCGCGCCCAGCGTAGATTGGTACGGATAAAACTTCGTAAACCCTCAAAACAATATCTCGAGATTTACTACCGTTATGAATAGAACCTGTCAATACAAATATTCCCTAATAGTTTTTTGCTGGCTTTGAGCAATTAGCACCGTCACAGTTCCTTGAAGTGACAGCGGGGCCGAGGGGCGGCGCGGCGCGGCGGCGGGTCACACTTCCGCGACACTTAATACTTTATTCGTCAGAGACATGTGCCGAACACTCCAACCACAGAACATAAAATCATTCTGTGACTTCAAGATTTCGCTCAAATACCAAGCTCTTACTTCCATTGCCTTCTACGCCAATGCTCCTGAATTTGAATCCTGGTAGGGGTATTTGTCTGTGTGATGAATAAGCTTAAATATAAATTTCCGAGTTTATTATTATGTATACGTCATAGTATAATATATTTATAAGATTTTAATTTGACTGAAATTTTGCATGGCCCGACACGCACTTAGCCTGATTTTTAATATTTAACCATTAAATTAGGAAACTTATAATTATTAAACATTTCACTAAAAACAAAAATTCAGTTCGGCCCGAGTCGATCTACATCTTTTAGTAAATATTTTCTTTAAAACAAAATGAACTAATTACAATTTACATTATAGATCCCCACTTGAGATCTGGATATGTCACTCAATGTTGTTATAGGTACACTTATACAAACTAGTTCATTTTGTTTTAAAGAAAAAATTTTTTTACACTTATAACAAATATTGTTATTTGGATGTATTGTTCTGTAAGGTGGAGGTTGCTTCCACAGCTCCAATAGGGATGATGCCGGGGTATAGTAAACGAAATTCTATTAAGCCCGTCAGATTCAGTAACAAAAAATAATGAACACTATTTTTTTCTTTTGTCAATTAACCAAAATATTACAAAGATAAAGTGCGTCTAAACTTGGGAGTGGAGGATCATGACGTTACTTCTAGGTAAAAATTGTACTAAGACGTGATGTCATGCGAAATTTTAAATCAAGTTATCTTTGTAATGTTTTGATTATATGTGAATAAAGAAAAGCACGTGTCCAATACTTTTTGATGATCTGAAATAAAATTAGTCAACATCCCTATTATTTGATTTACCTCTCAAAGTTGATCGAGCGAGGCTGATGCGACATCATTTATAAGATCATATTGGTTTGCAGGAAAGGAAGGACTGAAAAATTATTTCGTTTATTCTTGTTTCGCCAATAAAAATGATATTCTGGGAAAACTTTAATTATGTACCTACGGACAGACGGAAGGATAAAGGAGGCATAATGATTGAGTTCCTGTGACACTCTTACCGTACCCGAACCCTACAAATTAATTCACCGAGAAACAAAATCTTTTCGAGATATGTACATCAAACAATAATCGAGAATCGAATTTCAAAGATGAAATATTACCGTCTTAAGCCCGCGTAAGTAGTTTTGTTTCAGCTGATCAGCCACTAATTGTGGATGAGATCGTGTATACCAGTCCCCGTCAGACGGAGGTGTTACGGTATTGCTGCAAATAGGATCCATTTAGGGTTGGCGAAAGTTTTACTAAGAGATTTGTTGCTACTAAAATTTTTAAAAATCACTAGCGGCCGCCCACGATTTCGTCCGCGTTAACTTTAGCTTTTTTGTGAATCCCACAGGAAACTAACATTTTTCCGGGATAAAAAAATATCCTATATCTCAATAAGAATCGTATGTGTTAATCCAGGGTGTCAGCTAACTCCATACCAAATTTTATTAAAATCGCTCCAGCCGTTTAAACGTGAAGAAGTAACAAACATACACACTCACAAACTTTCGCCTTTATAATATAAGTGTGATAACATTTCATAACTGTAAAAGTTAAAAATATAAATACTATTGCGGATTTTTTATATCTAATTCTATTGTCAACAATTTCCGCAGCGTATTACGCGCTATGACGATATTATGAGAATACCACAGCTGGGGAGGGCATTTAATTTATTTTTGACGCATTTCTTTGTAGTAGGTATAGGTATTTAATAAGTTCCTTCTTTTTGCTCTTTTCGTCCATCTTCATCAGGTTTTTTAATAAATTTTAATCATTGTGATATAGTATTTTGGGTTAAAAAAAAACATAACATAAACAAGACCTATAGTAAAGCTCGTTTCCCACCACCAAAGAACTAGGGATGTTTTGCGGAGCAGTCTTCGTGTACATAAAGTTCAGGAGTACTGATTCTCATTTTTACTCTTTTTGTCCTCTTTGCCATCTTTGTCTTCGACCGACGTTTGACGACCTCTGTGGCCGAGTGGTTTATATGCTGGGTTTCATGGTGTCGCCGACTTCTATAAAACCTTAACAGGTTTTCGTGTATGGTATGATTGTATTTGATAATAAAATAAATAAATAAATATAAATATACTTATATATGTATTCTATCCTAGGGTAACGTATCGCATAACGCAAGCCTTACAGTGCTTAATTTGGGGCTAGGTTAATTAGTGTGAGTGTTGGAAATATTTATTTATTTTTATTAATTGGTGGAAATAAATTTATGCATTTTTGTATTGCGAGATAAACGGAGTCTAGTTTGATCGAATAGCCAAAGCCAAGCAAAAAATAAACATGGTTACAAAAATTGTCAGCCCTACTAATCCCAGGTGGCGGATCTCAAAGTATTGAGTTTAACCGCTCCGACGAAAGCGATTCATTTTAAGCGCCATCCACCGCTCAGTGTGACTTACGACTCGGGCTGCTGTTTACTTAACAAATATTATTCTTTGTTCCATTTACACAAGTACCTACTCGGTACGTACACTTAGGCACATACTTATGTAGGTACCTATACTATTACTTACAAAATATATATTAGGAACGTTTCCGATTTCTAAGTACCGATCACGTGCTTAACCTTTGATCCAGGACGGACAATTTACTTAAGACTCCATTTACTCAATCTGGATACTTTTTGGATTCATTCACTGTCAAGGCTGCAATGTTGTGAAATAACCTTCCATCAGAAGTCCGTCACTCGGCATCACTTGCTACTTTCAAGAAAAACGTCATGAACATCTTTTATCAAGGTCCTAGTTTGCAATATTTAACTTATATGTGTAGTGTATATCATACATATTTATATATAAATTATTCTATTATTATTATGCTATATTTATATCAGTATTTATATGCATAGTTTCTTCTCTTTTAAATATATACATATGTATATGTAGGTATTAATGTTTTGTATGTATTTTACATAATACATGTCTTCATATCATTTTGTCATTATTTTCATAATTCCCATACACGAATTTTGACTGCTACATAATCGTATCATCATATTAAAATTTTGTATAGTAGGGGTGATGCTAAGTTTTTATAGAAACTATGACGATGCGATACGATTACGGAGCTGTCAAAATTCGAGCTTGACCCTCTGCTACAGAAATCTCACGCGAAATTTAAGAAAGAGAGACGACTTTTTTTAAGTATTGAACTGCTCGATGTTTAAATCTAAAGAAACTTTTACTAGAAGAAATTCCACGCGTACCAGCGTACCAGCGCGTGGCAGCAGACGGGACTCGAACAACAATAATTTGTAAGAACGAGCGAGACAAAAGGCCTCTGTTGTCACTATCTCACAGCACCCGGGTTGGTCCTCTTTGCATCTGACAACATGAAATTAACTGCAGTGTGTAAAAGACGGAGAAGAAAAGGTTTAAAAAATAGTACATTGTTCACCGAGAGGAGAAAGTGACTGATTACCAACGAGGCCCGAGGCGCCGCCAGGGGCCTTAATTATAATCATATCGCAGGTGTCCCCGCAAAAACTGGAACTCATTCGACATGGCTCAGCAACGCACACAGCGAACATAAGTCCGCGTTGCGCCCTCGATGTAATTTAAAGAGAGGGATCCATTATTTTCTTTTAAAACGTCTTCTGTTTTTCTCTAACTTCAATTTAATTACAGTTGGACATATTTTTTTTCAGATTACGTAATGCATTTGACAGCATTACGTAATCTGAGAATATTTATATCCATAGTGTGCGCTGTTCTAAAGTTTTGAGCAATAAAATGTCCGCAGACCGTTTGCGTTGAATCTGTGACAAGCCCTCAGCGGACATTTTTTTCAAGATTGAGGGACTTTTGGACAAAATCTCTTATTTAAACATACTTATGTATTACAGTTATGTCACAGATAAAGGTCCCCTGCGCTTTCACCCGCGTTAATTTGAGGAAAAGGGTTATAGTGAGCCAAACTTAAAAGCTGGGCATGTTATGTCGCAGATTTTTTATAGAACTTTTAAAGGGGAACAATTCTGCCATACGTGATTTTTGTACAACTTAAATAATTTACGCAACGCACGCAACGGAAACTCACAAATGGTATATTTTTACTCGTTTTGGTAACATTTTACATCGATGATCCGTTCCTACTGGTCGTAAAACGTAACAAAATTTTCCCACCAGTTAAATATTTTTTTATGAAAGGTTTATAATTATATAAAGGAATTCATTGTGTACAATACAAGACTAACACCAAAAATTACAGTCTACCTACACTACAGCTACACCGAAGCGAAGCGAGGGCGGCCCACTATATCTCATATTTAGGTAAATATTATAACAGAATTTAAATATATCCAGACTGCTAATGACAACGCGAGTGCCAATTATTGTCCCTCGAGGACCAATGATTATAGATTAGAAACTTTTTTTGTTGTTTTTGAAATATTTTAATGCATAATAATATTGAGTTTTTAAACTCTCATTCATCAAACCTTATTTAACAGCATTTTGAAACTACATTCAATCGAAAATTAATATTTAATTTACTACGGACACGCAAATGAAGTATTCCGCTTACGTCGCAAATCGTTATAAAATCTACCCTAGTACGTCCATGATAAAACTTTAAATTTCAGAACGCAAAATAAAGCAATGACATTCTTCGTTTCAAAACGAAAAGTAGCTGTCACACCAAAATTTTTTGACGTTTTCACGGTAAATTGTTTTGCTAAAGTTACGAACTAATTCGATCGGGTGTTTTATGACTATTTGACTGATTTTTGTAATTATATGAAAACTATTATGTACAAATAAGTGCGGTTGATGAAGTATTCTTTAAGTTACTAAAAATGTTACCTGGTATTGGAGTATTTGGCACAGGTGCCATAGCTAAAGTTTTAGTACCATTCCTTAGGGAAAAGGGATTCGCTGTGGAAGCTATTTGGGGGATAACTTTACAAGAAGCTGAATTTGCTGCCAAGGAACTTAAGATACCGTTTTTTACAAACAAAATAGATGATGTATTGCTGAAAAAGAATGTAAATTTAGTGTTCATAGTCTGTGCACCCAATTTGCATGCGCAAATATCGGTCAAAGCTTTAGGCATAGGAAAACATGTCGTCTGTGATAAACCAGCCGGCCTTTGTCAGGCAGAAGCCTTGAAAATGGTTCGAGCTGCACAATACTACCCCACATTAATATCCATTGTTAACCACTCTCTAAGGTTTTTGCCTGCCTTCAGCCATATGAAAAAATGCATTCAAGAAGGGTATTTGGGAAATCCTGATGAGCTTACACTTATCGATGTTAGAGTTCAAATGGGACCATTGGTAGGAGATACATATAACTGGTTGTGTGATGACACAATGGGTGGAGGAACACTCACATTGGTTGGAAGTCATGTTATAGATTTAGTCAGTTTTCTCACTGGACAAAAAGTGGACAAGGTCCATGGAGTGCTACGAACATTTGTTGAAGAAACGCCAAAAGTGAACGGTATTAGAAAGATCACAGCACCTGATTTCTGCACATTCCAGTTGCAAATGGAAAAGGGTTTATTAGTAACTGCTACTCTAAATAACCATTTGCCTGGACCCTGTTTTAATCAAGAAATCTATGTTTGCAGCAAGAGAGGCTACTTAGTGGTCAGAGGTGGTGATTTGCATGGTAAATTGCATAAAACTTCTACCAACATAATTCCAGAAGAAGATTGTAAAAGATTACAGGATAAGGAAGATGTTATCTATGTGGACATTGAGGATTTAAGCTGTGCTTCTAGTGTTGTCCCTAAACCGTACATAAAAGGTTTGTGTAAAATGATAAGTGCTTTAAAGGAAGCATTCTTACCTGTAAAAGAGCAAATGGATTGGGTCAAGGAACCGGTTAAGGCTGCTGCTACCTTTGAAGATGGGCAGAGAGTACAAGCCACTATGGAAGCCCTACGCCAATCAAATGAAGATGGAAGATGGATGTCTGTTCATCTTCTAACTGAGCCACCAGATCCTAACCCAGCCCTATCAGCTGCAGTGAGAAGGACTGCCATATCTTTACAATAGCAGATCAGAACAATATGAATATAGTGTATGCCATTACATGTACCTTTGACATAGTTGTAAGGATATAGTTATTAATGGCTGTATTGTAGTTTTAAAATGTGATTTTAATTTAGAAATATTGCTTACTAAAATTTACAAGTTCAGAACATTCAGCTGCGTCTGTACAAATACAGATATCATTTATAATTTAAACATTTGTAAATAATTTCATTTATTTAAGTTGGAAATAAAATTAGTATAATATAAGACTGTGTGACATTTTGTATTTACTATGTTCTTTAAAGTAGAGTAGTCATAACAAGTTAGCGAAAAAAACAGTATGGAATTGAAAATTCAAATTTTGTCATGTAACTAAAAGAATATATATATCACTTTTAGATAAAATTGCTTGCATATGATCTATATTGGAAAACAGTAGGAAATTCTAAAGATTAAATAAAGCAAGAAAGTAGACAAGTAAACTGCTCACATGAAAATGTAATTTAATAGTACCACTACCTACTAACTAGTTTAATAGCTTCTTATCTGTGTTCCAGTTGCCATAGATTCCACATTCATTGATAAGTAAATCAGTTACAAAGAAATAGTTAATTAATGCATTTATATGTAAATTTTATATAACTTACTTTTATTATTTTGCATTTTTTTTACCAATGTTCTTTAAAATATTAAAATTGCAGATCTATCTGATATTATAAAAACTAAGCATATTTGTCATTTTTTGTTTTTGTCATGAAGCCTCTACAAGTAAAAACAATAATAACATATTTTTACAAGTATTAAAAGCAACATACTAAGAAATATACTTTCTCTAAAAACCCAACTTTCTATTGATATGAAATTCACACAACAGCTAAGTTTTCTTTAACTTGGTAATATTTCAGTACTTTTTGATAACATAGAAATACTGTAATAATATCAAATATTGAACAAAGGCGAAAATTTTACTTTTAATGAAGAATCAGAATGAAGCATTCTTAAAAACTTTTAGAAAAATCCTCAGGTCTACGAGTCATTATTTATGCCACAGGAAGTCAGCAATATTTGTATTAGAAAATAAATTTTTGCTCCTCCTTAGATACAGATCAAAAATATTTTCTGAACGATTAAGTATACAGACAATGTCATAGCACAGTGGGATAGTATCCATACTATTGAATGTTTGAAAGAAAATGAGAGAACTTTGTGTCAGGCATCAACTGGGCAGCCCATTGAGTTGATAGTACATGGTCAAAACCTTCACAAATATTGAAGCACTTGTTTGTTATCTAGGAATGTTAGTTTAAATGGCTTGGAATAAAATTTCCTATGCATCATTTAGCACTCTTCGCTTCAAAGAATGTCATTCATAAAAATGACAAAAATTTAATAAAAAATGGAAGAAAGAAAATGATACAAAAATTATTATAACAACATTATAATTAGAAATGCAACAGATACACCACTGTATTCAGCATATTACACAATCACATGGCCATTCACTACAAATTCTATAATAACTAACAGAACCAGAATTTCACAATGTTTAAATTATAGCTAACACTAGTCTAGTTTTCAATCTTCGCCAGTATGTCAGATTCTTTGAAGAGATGGTATTCCTTCTCGTCGTTTTCTAGACTAACTTTGGTGCCGCCGTATTCGGGAAGCAGAACTTTATCACCGACCTTTACTAAGACTGGAATGAACTCTCCGTTTTCCTTTCTGGAGCCAGTTCCCACTGCAACTACTTCGCCATGAAGAACTTTAGACTGTGCTTTTTCTGGAATCACGATGCCCCCTGCCGTTTTCGTTAGCGCCTCAGCTCGTTTGATAAGAACGCGATCGAGCAAAGGAACTAGTCGTTTTACTGCGTTGGACATTGTGTTTCTCACTTTTGATTTTTGAGGCACAAAGCGATGAAACAAATGAGAAATCTTCTTCTGCCGAGCTGAGTCTAGAAAATTCGGAATCAGAAACTGTCTCGCTAGCCGGCGAATGAATGAGTTTAGTCTTTATCTTTTTTTCTCTTTGGTTAGTTTGACATTTGTACACCCATGTGTTTCTGGTGTTGCCTTGATATTTTTGATTCTTTCGTACTCTAAAACAAATTAATTTACATATTATGTATATAGTCATGTACAAAATGAAAGGTCGTTCTGGTATCTTTACATTAATTTTAGTAATCATTTATATTTAAAAATTATTCTTTAGCATCGAGTCTCACCATAGACAAGACTTCCAGCATTTAACGCCATCTTGTGATGAGAAATAACATTAAATACAAGCATATATTTTAATTTTAAAAATATATATTTTTTAATATTATAACCCGTCATTTTAAAATTTATAAGCATTTAATTACTACTACCTAGTAGGCGCTATAATATATATTATGTATAACCCAGTCTAACCTATGGAGCACAAAGCTCCATTTAAAGACTAAATAATCACAAAACATCTTGTCCCATCTTGTGTTGAAAAGCAACACTAATCAGTACACTAGCGCTATTGATGTAAATATTTTATAATGTGAATTACTAGATGACGCTATAACAAATAATGAACATAGGATTTCGATAGGGTTTAATTTTCTAAGTTATATCGGACAAATTGATGAAATATTTTAATGAACGTCTAAAAGCTATACACATAATCGGGCCGGCATTAATCGGCACAGTCGGGCGGTAAAACCGAATAAATCGACGGTAAAATGCAATTCTGTTGTAACCTACTACTGAAAAAACAAAAGCATATGAACTTTAGCTTCCATCTATATTCTAGACTTACGAGTCTTGTAAATTGATTATAAAATATCCAGAATTTTATTCGCCTCTAAAAAATAATAAAATTAATAATAAAAACTTAAATAAATTTAAATTGCCGCTATCCAAAATGAAATTAGTTACATTTAGCCCCCATATAATGGTGACAGGAACCATGTTCCTGTCTAAAAAAAATTAACCAGCGAAATTTATCAAATATTTAATAGACTTTCTCATTGCCAAGTGTTACCATGAAATAAATGATTTTTGTATTTTGCTGAATTGAATAATCATGTATTTTAAATAGAAAATTACCCTCTAAAGTTGCTGTGCCCTTGCAAGGCGTCACATGGTTACTATATTTTTCTCTACCACCTTATTTCTGTGAATGTGATATGCAATGAATAAATAAAGAATTAATGGCAAAATTGTAGCCTATCTTTAATCTCGGTACTTGCGGGATTGCAAATTTTCGATCCCGTGGGATCCCGGTATTTGCGGGATCCCGCATAGAAATTAATGATATCAATTATTAAGCTAAATAAAACAACGAAATAATCAACGTATTTAAACTTTAATTATAGTTTACTTTTTAAATATTAAATATTACACATAAAAAAATAACATTGCACTTTTATAAGTTCTATTGAGATTAAAATCAACCTATGTTAAACAAACTGTAAAGAACTAAGGACCTCAATTATAATTTAAGATAAATTATTAAAATATCAAATTTATATTTACTTTGACCTATATTTTGTTGAAAATGTTTGCGAAGAAAACAACATATCTAAGGTGTCGTCAGCCAAACTACTACGAATTTTAGACGCAATATAACCAGCCGCCGAAAAAGCCCTTTCAGCTTCCACGCTAGTTGGAGGAATTCCTTTTAAGGCGTTGTACGCAAAGCATAGATATTTGCCTATGGAGCCCCCAGATTCATAAAGAGTCATCTCTTTTTTTATGATGGACTCAAGTGTGTTAGCTCGAGATGGCGACGGACATATGAGCTGGGATGCTGATGATATAGTCAACTCTAACTCCTGCTGCAAGGTAAGTGAAAGGTTAGGATCGGAAACCTCTTCATAGTTTCTATTTGTGACTTCACTTAGTTGATCTCCTTGCTGCACAACGTCTTCGTTGTTATTGTTCTCAGCAGTTGAATTGGAAAGACTGAATTGCATTCTCATTATAAAATGTTTTAATTTTTTTTTTACAATAAATAGGCTTACGCTTGACGGCCACGCGACTGATGAAAAGCGACGTAGCAGCCTAAGGTGGGAAGCGCTTGCCTAGAAGAAACCGATTGACTCGCGACTTGAAGAGACCCAGATTATAGGTAACTGGAAACAGAGATTCCGGCAAAGAGTTCCACAACCTAGCTGTTCTAACTATATAGGTGGAAGCAAACCGTTTAGTACGAGTTTGTGGGACCTCTACGGTATATCTGTGGCGTTTTGCCGTCTCTCTGGTGGTTCTGTGGTAAAAAGGTGAAGGTGGAATTAAGTTATGTAACTCCGAAGCACACTCTCCGAAATGTAACCGGTAAAAAACCGATAAAGAGGCAACTTTTCGCCTGTGTTCAAGACTTTGGAGTCTAGTCTCGAATAATTTGTCGTCACCGATAAGCTTCTTTGCACGCCTCTCAATGCATTCCAGAGACTCTAGCTGATATTTTGCAGAACCATCCCAAAGGTGCGAACAGTACTCCATGCACGAGCGAATTTGTGCTTGGTACAAGGTGAGCAGCTGTTCCGGAGTAAAGTACTTCCGAAACCCTTGCGAGGACGCCAAGCTTTTTTGCAGCCAGTTGAGCTCTGGACTCAATGTAGGTACCGAAGTTGAGAGTTGAGGTGAGAGTTATTACTAGAAGCTCGAGCTGTTCGGTTACCGGCACGGTTACACCTCGGAAAGAAGTGGCCAGTTGAAACGCCCTTTTTTTAGCGGAGAACAGACACGCCTAATTCTTTTCGAAGTAAAGCTTTAGTTGGGAGATGGAACGTTTCGTCATCACGCGACGCATTGTAGCTGAAAGGGTTTGAAGATAAAGCAAAAGTGCAGTCAAATTAGTTCGTCGTTGTGAAATACGTCGCCGCAAAGACGAAGCTAGCTTTGAAGCTAATTCTGAATGATTTTCTTCCAGTTTTCTGATCATAAACTTGAGCGTAGCTTCAGCCGTAATAAGATTGGCATCTTGTCGACACAGCACTTCGACAGCAAGTTTAATCGGTGTCAGGGTATTTTCCAGATTGACTAATGCATCAAATTCTTGTTCTGAAAACCTATACTCAATGCTTGTGCTAAGGCCGAGGTCAAGTAATGTTTTAACAACGCATAATTTTAATTTATTGAATGTCTCAATCATGGTAGCCAAACTACTCCATCTTGTTTTACAATCTCTGTTCAACTCAATTTTTCTACCGAATTCCTTCTTCACATATCCTTGAAGTAAGTCATTTTTTACAGGCGAGCCCTTAAACAAATTTACAGTTTTTCGTACCTTGTTGATTAAATCCTTGAAATCATGTATCAATTCTACTTCCCTATCCGACGACACTTCAACTATAAACCCATTATCATCAATCCCATCTAATTAAAATAGTTCTGCAAAAGTTCTACATAACAGACTTTTTAGTTTTTATTAAAAACTTACTTGAAAAATGTAAATGCTGTAGTAGTTTTATAAATATCTTTAAATAAAGTAGGTGCCTTCAATTTTGCTACATCTCTTTTCGATAGGAGTTGTAGTTTTACTGAAAATTTCGATAAACCGTTTTCTCCCCCTTTAAATATCGAGATTCGCGACGCCCGGCCCGCGCCGACGCATTCTCTGCGAAACAATTCCATAATACCTAATGTATATTTTTTGTATCTTACCTTCAGAGAGTAGAGGTTCCAAAGAACAAAAAACACACCAACTTTTTTGGCTGGCGATTTTTAAGGTAAGCTTTTTCGATGCATCAAAATAGGAAATAAAAATAAATACTTTCTGTTTAATACAAAAAATGGATTGTATTTGGGAACATAAAATGTAAGTTGCCACCAAATTTCGTGAAAAAAAAAGTTTTCTTTTTTTTTAATTTACGCAGATATTTTATGTGAAAAAAGTATACCTACATATAAGGATCATTCTACTTTTGAAGAAAGAAAAAAAATAAAATAAAAATCTCGTTATTATTGAATTATTTTAGGTTTATTATATTAATCAACAAAAATAATAAACATTATAATTAGACACAGACATCGTTTCTCAGTAATTGCCGAGAAAACGACGAAAATTTAAAATAGGTGGCTAACAGGAATGACGCTACACTTTACAGATATGATGTTATGCTATATTAATGGTTTTAAACAACAATTAAATTAAATAATTATACGTTTAAAGTATTGATTCAAAAGGCATATTAATCAAAATAAAATATAATTAAAATCAGATGGAAGTATCAAAACGTAACAAATAATTTAGTATTTTTCACGGGAATGACGTCACAGCCCTTATCATTTAACTGTGTCATACTTATTAGCAATAAAAAATCATCTTTTCAGCTTCTTAGCTCTCCTAAATCGTATTAAAATTCCTATGAATAAATAAAAATAAATAAATAAATATTTCCAACACTCACACCAATTAGCCTAACCCCAAAGTAAGCACTATAAGGCTTGTGTTATGTGATACTGGGTTAACGGATAGAATACATGTACTGTACATATATAAGTATATTTTTATAGATATACATATTAAACATCCATGACTGGAGTACAAATGCTCGTATTCATCACACCAACATCTGCCTCCATCGGGATTTGAACCCGGGACCTCTCGAGTCGGCGACACAATGAAACCTGGCATACAAACCACTCGACCACGGAGGTCGTCATAAATGAATTTTGTTTTGTTTTTCTCAAATGTTGAAGCATTTATTGCTGCATCTATAATTTTTTTCCTCTTTAAGTCTTTATCGAAACTGTCATCTGAAGAGCATGATTTGTACTACAAGTTTCTGCTTCGTTCTGATAAAACTGCTACCGTTTGAGGTTGATTTTAATGATCTGAATCATCAAACCATGTCAGATTGTCACCATCGGCATTTGTAGTATAGACACTTTTCTCTGGGGAC